TGACGTCATACCAATTTAATACAGGACAGCCGATCTCGGTATTTAGAAAGGTTACCCCATGGATTTTCGGCTCTGGTTCGTTCACGGGGGGGCGTGTTTAATGTCGCAGATATTTCGAAATTTCCCTGTCTTTTTGGGGACTACGTATTTTGTATATCATCGCAACCCGGTCGAACCTAAAAATATACAAAGTTTTTTAATTTTAGGCAAAAACACTGTAAGTTAAGAATGTTATAACAAAAGTGAAAGGTCCCTGAAACTGGGGTTGGTAAGCTATTTTTCGGGATCTTCGATTTTTCGTTATTTTGCTAACGTGATCCCCAGACTTTAATACGTATTTGATCCAAATTACAGCCTCAGGGCTTCGGGTCATGTCCCGAACACCACACTCACACATTTTGTTAAAGGCCTCAAGGATGATGGTTTTGGCGAAAAAGCAAAAGATATTTGCACCAGACGGGGTCGAACCCGCACCGTGAGAATGACAGCCCAGCGCGCCATCCACTATACCACGCTCACCAACTGGGAGGGGGGCGGCTGAGAGGGATGACTTGCCCGAGCACCCCTTTAAAATTTTGAATTGTGTCATTGTGCAGAGCGATCCTACGAAGTTATTTGTTGGTGACATCAATGACAATTCCCCAACGCGTTCAAAAAAATCCGATTCAATCTAGAACCTCATGGTCTATATTTTTTTGCGCGAACTAACCCGATTCACTCGGTGGTGCGTGCGGACCAAAAACTGATTTCCGTCTGAACGCTTCATACTATGAAGTGCATAGCTTTTTTCTTAGCTTCCACAACACATTCTTCAAAAATCGCGGAATGGCTTGCTTTTTAATTGCTTTAATGACACCTTGGTCCCGACTCCCGAGGGAAGTCGCTAATTAGCAACTTTCCCCGGCTGCGGGCTGTCATCTTTTAAGATCTTTGCACCCAAATTATCATCTGTCTTCTTCGAGATAAACTTGTTCAGCGAGATAGTTTTAATCTCGATTTCTTTCCGATGGCTGTAACTTCACAAAATTTACAGCTGCCATAAAATGCTCGCAAATTTCCTATTCTACATGAGCTACGGTATCCCATCTGCAATTTTGGTCATACTCACAATAATTTGTTTATTAAAAAGCCCGCAATTGTTGGAGAGTTCATTTTACAAGGCCTATTTGCTGGTGCTCGTTTGCGTAAGTTTTCGTAAGTCCCACCTCCCAGATACTCACCTACATGGTGCCCCAAAAAACACCCCCCTCTGACTCGATGCAGAAGTATCGGATCGGAATGGTAGTGATACCATTGGAAAGCCCTTGATTCGGCGAGTTCGCAACAATTTTCAAAACCATGTTTTTTATTTAAATACGCCATTTTACGTCATTTTGCAAATTTTGCGTTTTTCGAGGTTGCATACGAGGTAATTCGCTTTTATTAATCTAGGCCGGAAATAGCAGTAAAGTAGATGCCGAGGCCGTTCAATAACGTTTTTAAATGCGTTGTAAAATCGCGGGTTTAAATAAAAGCTGGTTTTGAAAATTGTAGCAAACTCGCCGTTTCGAGGGCTTTCGAATCGTGTGATTACCATTTGGATCTGATACCTCTGCGTCGAGTTAGAGGGGGAATTTTTTTATTGGGGAACCCTGTATTTTCAACCATTCAACTCTTTAGAATCTCGTAACCTATGTAAATTATTTTATCACTTTCAACCTACGCGAACTGGCGCCAGTTGCGCCATGGTATGTTGGCATCGAAAAGTGGTTCCCGGCCTATCCTGCGCTCTTCACGTTCTCCATGGCCGGCATCTATACACAAAACCTGAACCTAATTTTGCTGCATCTCAACAGATTCACGATTTTCTGGATGCCGTTGTGGTATAATCGGGTGAGTCGATCGTTCCATCGAGACGATAGACGATGTTTTTGAGATTTACGTTGAAAATCGCTTCCAGATTTGGACCACCGGGTCGATTATCGCCGCCGGAATTTTATGTCAATGCCTGGGCCTCGCGTTAACCTACGAAAATTTTGGCATACCTAATATGTATGAGGCTGACAATGATGGTTATGCAGTGATGACCGTCGCAGCCATGCAGGTACGTGGCCCAAAAAGGGCACGAATTTCGACGTGCGCAGAACTTTTCGGTGGCTCCGAAGCTGTGTTCAAAACGTGCGAAGTGAGAGTGAGAAGCCTTACCGAGAACGCGTTTTTTAGGTAGGCGACTGATACATTCGTTTGCCAGATTTTCAAAAAAGGCGAATAACCAGATTCGGGGATTTGAAAATCTCAAAAAAATGTGGACACCATTCGTTATTTACGTGCTGCCCATGGCTATTGATTAAGACTTCCTTATTCAATAAAAAAATTTCCTTACATTTTTCGGGCTGAAATTCATTCTCTTAATATATATTTTTGACGCTCCATCGCATGGCACTGGCGAAATCCCACAGTAATTTAAAAGATTATGATAATCAGTGCCACACGTTATTCTCCCCGGCCCCCCCTCCCTTTACCCTATGGGTACCGATTCAAGAGCTACGAAGCTTTCAAAAGTTAGGCTTGATCCCGTGTTTGAAAACCCGATTGCCATTAAAAACCGATTAAGCGATGGGCGTGGCTAATCGAAATATGGCGCTGCTCACGGTGGTCTGGCCCGGGATTTCGTTGGCCATCAATTTGGCGACCGTCTCCAAGCTGATCTACTATCGGCTCAGGGGCAAGCAGTGAGAATGTTCCTTGTGTTTCGTGATCGTAAAAAAAAATTCAGATTCGGTGCAGGCCACACCATCGAGCTTCAACTGTTTTTGATTTGCTTTGCCACCCTGGCCGTGCAGCTGGCATTGTTGATATTTTTGGTAAGCAAACTGGCTCTATCAGATCGCGTTGACGTCGGCGCGAAAAAGTTAAAACGCAAGCTAACGAGCCAAAACCCTTTTTTTTCAGAGGTGCATAACCATGGGTAGCAAATTGACACCACTTTCTACGTTTTTGGTAAGTCCGACAAATCTATGTTACTTGATGCCTAATTAAAGGGGCTCGGAAGTAAAAATTCACGTGTGCAGGGATTGTATCTACTGTTCAAAAACGGAAAGGGTTGTCGCCGAAACGCACCAGAAAATTGATTTCTTTGCGAAAAAAAAACGCAAAATATTTGAGTAAAACCGAAAATTTCTGGGGGGGGGATGGAACGACTTATTGAGTCAGTGTCGATGACTTGTCGTAGCGCTCTATAAGGCACGCAATCCTCGATCTCGCTGATTCGCTGATCGATTTGCATAATTGAAAGGTCTAGAATGACCGAAATTGCGTGAGGATTCCAGTAACAACGTCAGAATTTTTAAATTCAAGCGTTTTCACGTCCAAACAGGGGCAAATATCATGCGGCGCGGTCGCGGTGCGGCCGCATCTGGCTATTTGCCAGGAATCGACGCCGGGGGCCGTGGAACAGATTTCGGAGCCCTTTTAAGCAAGCGGAATAGGCTAATTCTCCTCTCTCCAATCTCGCTAAAATGAGCCAAATATCTTAACATCTCGCGTTCTGAGCAAAGATTAGACAGTTATTACTGAAAAGAACTCGAAACCTTTTAGTCGAGCTTCATCTACGATCTGGCTTCCCTTTCTGAAGTTTACGTGGGATTGCTACTAAATCGGCAGCTACGAAGCACATTCTACGCCTTCTACTTCGCGAAATTTTTCACGCGGAAAACCCCAAGAAAGGCTGTGGTTTTCGAAGTCAGCCATGCAGCCACTTTGCCAAAAAATTGATCGTGCAAATGGGGCAAATTGAATGATTTATAATTGTGTATGTTTGGTGCTGTGGTCTATAAATTATGGCTGTGTTCCTTTCCTTGCATCTATACAATGGCGATAAATATTTCGGTTCTAACGTTGAAAACGGGAAGCAATTTTTCCCCTGTAGGCGTGGCGATGCTGATCCAAACGCTGAAAATCAAACTAGAAACTGAAATAAACACTAAAAAGCCCTTCCAATGACGAGTTTGCAAAAATCTTTGAAAACATGTGTTTATTTAAACAAGCGATTTTACAAGTAATTTTATAAGAGTCTCCGGGTTTTCAGGGATGCACACCACGACCTAATATGCCTCAACTTCTCCAATCAAAATGACCGGAAATACCGTAAATTAAATGCAGGAGCCGTTTCTTAATATTTTTTTAATCTATTATAAAATGAAGCGTTTCAACAAGTTTCTATTTTTGGTTCTTCTCTTTCAGGGAAAGGCTTTATTTTTGCTGTCTGCTAACTCCAATTTTTCCACTGATGCTTTCTTTTTCGCTTTTCATCTCTAAATCTCTCTCTTCTCCCTCTCTCTCTCCCTCGTCTACCTTTTTGGAAAGTGCTGCTTGATTGGATTTTGCCGATGAATGGGATTTCAATTCAGTCAGCGCTTATTGCTCCACGCTCGAACTGATGGTTTGGGCTACAAATTTCGGGGGTTATATCCAGAAAGATTTTGCATGGAATATCTGATTTTGGTTATTTACTTTATCTTCTGCAATTTTGTTGTTTTTACTATTGGTGGTGTGTTGCCTGTTCCTACGAATACTACCAAAACCATGGTCTTCTAACCTACGATTATGCCAATTTCATCAGACATTCCAGAGCGCATTTTTGCTCATTCTTTGATTTTGTATAACATTTAATTTCAGGAGCCCCCTCGGCCTGGGTGATTTTACCAAGGCTACAGGCGCTTATCTGCAATTGCGCCGGCAAAGACACAGAACAAAATAGGCACATGAATATTCAAAGCTTAAAAATTATTTTAATATTTGCAAAAGCAACGGAACAACGGTGGGTATGGCTTTATACTTTTAATGTAACAATGGATATTCAAGATTAAAAATATCATTGATTTTGGCGCAGCCCAGCGCTAATAATAATTTATTGGGATGATATCTCCAGGCGCGTCGGTTGGTTTTCACTTTCCTAATAACGCTGACATTTAGAGCGTTTACGGGATGCGCAATTGGGCCAAAATTGCAACGCTTTCGTAATGGAAAGGATGCAAAATTTTATGGCGCAGTTCCACGATCGTTTTCCGCACATAGGACTGCAAAATCAAGTAAGCATTTAAAAAACTGAGTTGAGATCATACTATTTTCAGAATTCAATTTTTTTATCGAATAAGCCTGTGCTGGACCTTGTTTCTGGGTTACCTAACAAGGTAACCTCACGTTGGCACGGTGGAAATTCGAAAAACGCTCGCGGCTTATAGTTTTCTTATCGGCTGAAATTGCAAAAATTGGGGGTAAATGCAAGGATTTGGACCACAAACACAACTAAACATAAACAAAATATTATCTTTGAGAATTAGAGAGTTAGGTTATATCAGAGAAAATTCGCTTTCAGGTGCCCCCTCGGCCTGGACGATTTTACCAAAAATTCATGCGCTTGCTTTCGATGGCGCAGGGAATGCTTCCACTACGCTATTTCGGTTGCAGTTCATATTGTTCCAAAAACAAATGGCTTGCTTTTAATAAAATAACCAGGGTTGAAAAACCGCTTCGCGGCTTTTCAACCCTGGCCCCGTCCAGGACCTGTGAAAGTCCTTAATTTGCATGTTTCTTCATGAATTCTAGCAAGAAGAAAGTGAAAAACGGCTCCTCTGTGCCTTTATATAGGCTCTTCCTACTTCCGGCGTATGCTAATTTCCCCTAACAAACAGGGTTTTACAAAAACCTATTTTTAATAGCGAAAATCACAATTTTTCAAAATTTTTATGTGTGCAGTCGATTCCGGACCATTCTAAACCTATTGTCGTTTCTTCCCTATCCAAAAAACCCTTCCCCGAGGCTGTAGGTGCGGAACATCCAAACGGAAGTGCATGCAAATATACACACACACACAGACACTATTTTTTTATATATAGTAGGATAGACAGGCTGATCGGTAGGCCTTTGCTACTCGATACAGATATTGTTTTCCAGATCCCCCACGATAACGCTGCTTCTTACGGAGACCTATCGAACCAGAACATCATTGTGATAGCGAACAGTAAGACTTCCAAGTCATTTGATAATGGTTATTATCAGTTCGGTGCTTTACAGATTCGTGGATATGGGGGTGACACAGGCCTAGAAATAATCTTCAGGATTGAGTGCTGTGATTTGCAGTATGCCCCGGTTGACTTACCCTTTCCTAATTACGTTAAAATTTAGGTCATTTATGGAATTGGCAATTGGTCCAAAATTGAAACGCTTTCGTAATAGAAGGCAAAAGTTCATGGCGCAGTTCTACAACTGTTTTTTTCACCAAGGACTGCAAAATCAAGTAAGCATTTTAAAAAAACTGAGTTGAGAGCAAACTGTTTTCAGAATTCAAATTTTTCAGCGAATAAACCTGTTTTCGGATCGGTTTTTTGGTTCTCTAACAAGGGCACAACAGATCATTTGCATCCGAAAAATTAGCTTGAGCGATGGGTTTATGAGGGTCCCCGATTACTATGGAATCACCAGTGGAGTGGCCAGGGCCGTAAAAAAACCCGAAATTTCCGGGGGGAGGGGACGGCGGCGCCAAAAACTGCAACGCCGCAGGTAAAATTTTGGAAAACACGGGGTTTATAACACTAAAACTAGTGTTAAAAATAGCTTAAATAGGCGCGGCAAGCAAAAATTTTTGAAAAAATCAAATCATAAGGGTCCCGCCTTATGAACTTTTCGGCCTTCGGCCGATTTCAGGGCGGGGGAGGCTCGCCCCTCGCCCCCCACCCACTGTTACGTGCCTGGGAGTGGCAGAGCGGTAAGCGATTCACTTGATCAGAAGCTGAAAAGGGTTCGGAACCCGCTCACGATTTTTATTTTGCTTTTTGACCGGAACTTTTTGTCCAACTTCAAGTTTTGTTTACTCTTTTCGAAAATTCATCATCTTTCTAAAATGTCTAAATTTTTCGGATGTAAATGATCATTTTCGTGAAGTGCTGTAGCTTTGTCCAAAAGTCCATTAAGGAAATTCCGACCCGACCGTTGGAATCGTCATGGTCGAAAACCTAGGGCTAGGCGCGAGCGTTTTTTGAAATTCCACCTTGCCAACTTTAGGTTTCCTCGCCAGTTCAAATTTTGTATTACAGAAGTCGACGTCCCGGAACAAACCGCGACAGGCAGCGGGCTATGGCGCTTTTCCGTTACACCAAGACTAGCGTCCACCAATTCTCCAATCAAGTCCTTGGGAAGTGATGAAAAATTTATAAATATGATCGGCATGAAGTCGCCACCGACAGCACAGAAAAAGTGAGGCTGATTAAATTTTTTCTGAATTTTACAGGATTTGAGTATTGGTGTACTACAGCTCCAAAGTCTCGAGCTCCGCGACTCACCTGGATTGCTCTTCCCTTGATGACAACTGCAGCAAAGCCCGATGCAAAACTTGATGTGCATAAAATGTCGTAGCAACAGCTAGACAACATCCCTAACATCCAGACAGATTACAGTAAATACACATACAAAAAAGCATCAAAAATACATTCATAGCGTCGTCCTGGATGGCGTAGAAAACTGCAGAGTTCAACAGTCTTAAAGGAATCAGGAATCAATCTACTGCGCCTTCCTTATCCCGTTAAAATCGGCAGTTATAGGCGACTCTTTACTCCCAATTTGAAGCTAGTTTTTGCCTCTGTAATCGTCGGTAATCGGACGAGCAATTTTTGAATTCCAACCCCGGATTAGCCTTTTTTTAATTGACGATGTTTTCAGGAGCTAAAGGGGACTTTTTCAATAACTTTTGCGTATAATTGGCCATTTCTCCCCCGAAATCAACGGATATCGATTTCCCGTGGGGGGTTAACGTGGCTGCTGGCTGCTACTTGGCGGGTGTAACTCTTTTGCCCAGTCTAAGCTCTTGTTCTTTTCAATCGGCACTAGCCAGCCGGCTCCGTCTTTTGCTTCTGTCAAACCGCTTTTTCTGATGCTGGTGCAAATTTAGTTTTCTCACTGATTTTAGAAATTAAATGATAAATTTTGCTCTCTCTCTCTCTCCCTCTCTCTCTCTCTCTTTCTCTCTCTATCCCTTTTCTATTTCATTCACAAATCGGAAAATAAAACGTTTTAGACCGTCGTCTCGCCTTAGGTACTTTCTCCTCAACGATGGCGCTTTCAGTAAACGGCGCTTTTCATGGATTTAAAACAAATATGGAAACAGAAATTTAAGGTAAGAGTAATTACGATGTAAAGATTACGAATAAAAACAGGATCAAAATGATTGTGTGAGGGATATGACCACTGCCAACGAGAAGGCAGATCCCATTCACCGCTGCTGTGCAAAACGTAGGTTTTCGAATTGCCGGAGTTTTGACCTTTTTTATCACTCCGACTATCACACTTATTTTTATTCGTCTCTCTCTTCCCCTATGTAAATTGAGCGATTTCGACCAGGGCATTACCGCAAAGCTAGGATAAGATTGCGCAAAACTGAGTAGCTTTCATGAATCACGCATTTTTGCAATTTAACCTGTTTCAATTTCAATTATATATTTATTTCAATATATATATATATATATATATATAGAGAGAGAGAGAGAGAGAGAGAAAGCAGATTAAACGCTGCTCCCGCTAATGGCAAACAAAACTTACAAATAGAGTGAGATCCAGGATCACCATGTAAGGACACAACCACAAATGGGCAAACTATACGAGTGATGGATGGAATGGAGAAACAAAAACAAGGTAGAATAAACCTTCTTCAAAGCAAATAGAAATGGTTCAGTCTGCATACTACAAGTGGAAAGGCGCAACGAATGGATTCCAAGGTAGGAATAACGTCTAAATTTCTGTAGGATTTTTTAAGCTTTTTTGAGATCTCAGCTGACCAGGGGTGATTTTGGTGATTTTGCAGTTTTGTTGCAATGTGGTATAGCTAATTTGATGGAGCTTGAAATTCTGAACCAATCCGATCTGGAACATGAAGTTTCAAAGATTGTTGAGTAACTACGTACGGCCTTGCGGGAAGTTAGCCGAGTAATGGTCGAATTTTTCAGTTTTTGGCACCGCTTAACAAAATATAAGATTTGGAAATCTTCAAATTTAATGATCAAACGATTATCGTTCAGAAATTTTTCAAAAAACGGAAATTTCGAGCTTGATCGTATGAGCGATGTCACATCGACTCCAAATGAGGCTGAAAACGAGCCTTTCTTAGATCCTCTTGAAAAGCTGCAACATATTTAATTTTAATTTTAAATTTTACAGGATATAAATCGACGCTAAAGGAAATGCGGGACAAAAACTACCGCAATCCATTCTGCGTTTACAACGACAAATGAAGGAAGGCGCAATTTCGTCGTCGACGGCTATGATCAAGCAGCGCAGGCTGAGCAACGTAACCCGGCCAAAAACCTACGCAATTTGCACGAAATGCTTCAGGCCCGAGTTTTAAATAGAAACGGGACACAAAATTGAAAGTATTTCCACCAGAACTGGAGAAATTATGCGATGAAGGAGAAGGATCGAGAAGGATCGTCCGCAGCATTTCGATGTTAGAACTGGAAAACTCGTGAAAAAGCTATTTATACCGAACTTCTCGCAAATCAAAGAAACTTTCACTGCACCAAAAATTCCAAGGATAGCAAGCACTCGAAGAGAGAAAACCCAAAAAGCACCTATGGCCAATCACTGCGTTTCGCCGGCAAAAGCTGCAAAACCATCATCGACTTAACAAGCTGGAAAAAGCTTTTCCATGCAATATAGCTACAGCCAAACTACAATTCAGCTGCCGGAAGCGGAGAGCCGGAAAAATGAAATAACAGGAAATTCAATGAAATGAAGCATTGAAATTTCCGGGCGGCTTGCTGTTCGGTTTGCCGCAGTAAACCGTCCCAAACTATTTATACCTATCCCAGGGCGCAGTAGCAAAATATGTACCCCGGATCCAGATATTGACAGACATAGACCGACAGCCCCGCCCCAGCTCCAGCTACAGCTCCCACCAAATCGAGAACCATGGCGGGCATCTATAGGTTCGTCGACACATGGCGCCACCAAGGAGAACAACGGGCATATGGAGACCCGCTACGACAAAAACCGTACCAGCCAAACAAGGCGGAGCATGCCTGGAGCGCCGTCTTCCGGAGAACGATCGTTCGTGCCGGCCCCCAATCTCGCAACTAGCGACAAAGAAAGCCATTCCTACCGGAAGGCTTCCCACTTCCGGAAACCGTGGGAGAACAGCCGGCTCCCCTCGCGGGGACCGTGCACGTGCCTCTCCTCTTCGCCTTCATGCCGAGGGACAACCGTTCGCCTCCTCGTCTGGCTGAACGCCCTCGCCACGACGCCCACGCCGGGCGACAGCCGCGCCCAACTGTTGCGGAATGCCCGGGCGCCCGCTCTTCTTGCAGCCCTTTTTTGCTGCCCTCCGGCGACTATAAAAGAACCGAGGGACCAACTCAAATCGCTTCACCCTCCAACCGATTATCCAACCAGTTATCCATTACCACATTCACGGTGCTATAAATCTTTAATATTCCTTATCTTATACTCTAAAACGCTATCTAATTACATTGTAAATACAATATATGCGTAGCCGACTCATCTACCACTGACAGGATCATTTTTACAAGCGGGAAATCGAAGTGGAGACGGAGGCCATCTACCAAACACATAGCCAGCATTTCATGTCAAGCTCGAAGGTCAGACGCAAACATGGCAATGCTAGAGAACTGGTGAAAAACCCACTTGTAGCGATCGCTTCACCAGAATCTTCCCCAGATGACAATCACTCGAAAGAGAGGGCGACCGAACGACTTTTTGGGAAATAATGGCGATGAATCGATTAAAAAAAAGAAAAATTTTGTGGATGGATGTGTGAAGCTGGGAACCCTGGACACAATACAGAAAAAGTGCAAGGATTGAATGGAATGATTGATTTTTTTAGGCAGCAGTGGCCTGATCGCAATCGTCAAATCCTTGTCAAAAGAATTATTCTCTCATGTATCCTTTTCAAGAACATTTCCACTAAGTTGCAATTATGGCTACCCGCGACCCTTACAAATTCATACAATCTCAGACGCGCTCAAGCCAGCTCCAGTCCGAAGTGCAGAACAAATGGCGGGCCTATATCGGTATATCGATACCTGGCGAGAAGCAGGGGACCACCGCTCGTATGGAGATCCGTTCAGGCAACGACTCTCGCAACTAAAGATGCGAATTTAATGGCCTTCCTACCGGAAGGCCAATTTCGACCCGTTTTTCCCCGTTCCTTTTCCCTCGCGGGAAATACGGGAAGGTGATCAGCCCCGGGGGGCTTGATCACGAGATCAACTGTGCAGCCGGGATCAACCGAGGAACCCCGTCCGGCTCCAAGATGGAAACAGCGGTGTTACAATTCGCCCCCACCCGAAACCCCTATCGGTCGACCGAGAGAAGGAGCCGAGCCCCAGATCACTACCAGTTTTTATGCCCACCATGCTGTATTTAAGCCGGGCCCGCGAGGGACCGGCACTTTTCGACTACCCAAGTTTTTCCTTGTATCCCTGGCCTTCAAGGCCGTCGTCGTCACCTTGAATTTGCTGCTCTTTTAGTAGTCTTTACACTATTTTATATGCGATAAAGTTTCCTATAACTGAAACAATATTCCTACGATTTCCAAGCTCAAAAGCATTCTACCGGAGACGTGAGTTTGAATTTCTGTAAAATGGCCGTACCAAATGAGCAATCAAGAGATGTCGTGGCACGCTCTATTCCGACGAATGATAACGACCTGGGTGGCAACCAAGAGCATAATCGAGAAAACCATGACCGCCCGAGGGAACTGGGGTCCCATCGGGCCACGAACTCAACCGATTGTACCAACAATAAAAAAAAACGAAAGACTGGAAGCTGGCGGTAGACCGTCCCCCCGCGAGATGTGGCAATGGCAACGAATTTGCAAGAAAATCTCTTCCATAACACGGTTGAATGCCCTAGGGGCGCTCGCAGCTCCGTAATGCTGGCTATCGGAACCCTTGAAAAACGGGTTCTACCAACAACGAACGGAAGGATGGCGACGGTACTGAACTTCTCATTCACCATGGCCTTTCCCGGGTTGGCGATTGCGTTTTCGGCAGTGCGAAAGCCAAGTGGAAGAGCGGGTAATCGAAGCGGTGACGGAGTAATCTACCAAACACACAGCCAGCACTTTATAATTTAGTGGATGGAGGTGTGAAGCCGGGGGGGCATGAAAGCATTACCAAAGGAGCACAAGGATTAGAATGGAATGATGGATTACTACATGCGGAATGGTTCTGTTTAGAAATCAGGAACGGTTCGATAAAAAAGAAATGGAAAATTTGTCTAGCTCAATGATGACAAAAACCCGTATTGCTCAAAAATGGCAAAATATGTCTTGCTCAAGGATGTGAAGAATCCGTCTTGGTTAAGAATGCCAACGTAGGGAAACACATGGCCAACGGAATGTGGTGAGAAAGTCAAACAGCGACAGAAAGCTTTGAGTTGGGAGATAATGGCGATGAAGACGAGGAAGAATGATACAAATTTAGTGCATGCATAATGAAAACGGGAAGGTACCATGGTGAAAAGCTCAAAACCCACTGAATGAACCCGGCAGCCGTCAGAATGGAATGATGGATTATTTCAATCAAGCAATCTGTGTGCATTAACGGCCTCATGATTTGACATTTCGAGTATGAGGAACCGTTCGATAAAGGAAATTGAAACACGAATCACGAGGCAAAAACCTCGTTCCACAATCCCGGATAATCTAAGCACACCACGAGCCAATTAGCAAGACGAAAATCAAGCTCGGTTTTTTCGCACTTAAATTGCAAATGTAGCAGGTTTAAATGTCGAGGAGATGGTGCGCTCTGAGGGCAAAAGCAGCGCCAAGACAAAGTCGAGTGAGCCGAGTAAGTATCACCACTTCTGGAACCTGGACATGCTCAAAAGTGAGAATGAAGTAGAATGGAATGAGGTAGTGGCAGGAGTAGAGGCCTGGATGAATACGAACTCTTCGAGTCGAGCTCGCGGGTAAACAAGCTGATCGGCTGGCAGACCAGATGAGAAACAGATTCCAACATGTAGAAATGTAGAAGTCTTCGCCATCCTCGCAAATAGGGTGAGTTTAATTTGATTTCCATCTAAAATGATAGATAGCAAATGATTTTTTAAAAATTGTATTTCGAAAACCACTTTCGAAACGTCATTTTTTGTAAGAAGCGATGTTCCAAAAATCACCTTTTTGCAAATCAAAATCTTAGAAACGCGTCCGACCACCAATATAATGAGCCACAATGGGAAGAATAACAATGTAATTTTTTTGTAAGCTTTCAAAATATCGGAAAACTGATTCCGCAAAAAATTGGTATTGATTTTGCCGGATAGGGGCAAATGTTTGATAGCGAATGGCGTTATTTAGAAAAAATGGTGCAAAAATTATTACATCGCTCTAAAATTATAACACTGAATTGATATTCAATGCCCGTTGCATAATCTTTTTTTTTGCAGTGGAATCATCGAAAAACCCCAAATGCCAAACAATATCCAATCCCGACGCCGTCCACGAGATACCCTTTGCTGGTTGCCGTGGCAGTCTTGTTTCCGTCAAACCGCTTTTTCTGATGCTGGTGCAAATTTAGTTTTCTAACTGATTTGAAAAATTGAATGATAAATTTCGCTCTCTCTCTCTCTCTCTCTCTCTCTCTCTCTCTCTCTCCTTTTTTTTCGCTCCCTCTTTCACTCTCTCTCTCTCTCTCCCTCTTTCTCTCTCTATCTCTCTCTCTTTCTCTCTTTCACTCTCTTTCTCTCTCTATCCCTTTTTTATATCATTCACAAATCGGAAAATAAAACGTTTTAGACCGCCGTCTCGGCTTAGGTACTTTCTCCTCAACGATGGCGCTTTCAATAAACGGCGCTTTTCATGGATTTTTTAAAACAAATATGAAAACAGAAATTTAAGGTAAGAGTAATTACAATGTAAAGATTACGAATAAAAACAGGATGAAAAAGATGGTGTGATGGATATGACCACTGCCTACGAGAAGGCAGCTCCCATTCCCCGCTCCTGTGCCAACGTAGGTTTTCGAGTTGCCGGCGCTTTGACCTTTTCGATCACTCCGACTATCACACTTATTTTTATTCGTCTCTCTCTTCCCCTATGTAAATTGAGCGATTTCGACCAGGGCATTGCCCCAAAGCTAGGATAAGATTGCGCAAAACTGAGTAGCCTTAATGAATCACGAATGTTTGCAATTTAACCTGTTTCAATTTCACTCGCAATGGCAGGAAAGGGCCCAAAATTATAATATAAGATTTGGAAATTTTAAGCGTAATTAAGGCAAATATAGAGAGGGAGAAAGCAAATTAAACGGTGCTCCCGCTAATGGCAAAAAAAACTTGCAAACAGAGTGAGATCCAGGATCACCCTCTAAAAACGCAACCACAAACGGGCAAACTATACACGTGATGATGGAATGGAGAAACAACAAGAAGGTAGAATAAACCTTTTTGAAAGTCAAACAAAAATATTTCAGTCTGCATACTGGGACTGGAGAGGCGCAACGAATGGATTCCAGTGTAGGAATAACGCCTGAATTTCTGTAGGATTTTTTAAGCTTTTTGAGATCTCAGCTGACAAGGGGTGATTTTGGTGATTTTGCAGTTTTGTTGCGATGTGGTATAGCTAATTTGATGAAGTTTAAAATTTTAAACACCTCAAAATTTTCAAAAATTGCTGAATAACTACGGCCTTGAAAAAAATTGGCTCAGTAATGGTCGAATTTTTTTTAGTATTTGGGACCGCTTAACAAAATATAAGATCTGGAAAACTGCAAATTTCTCGATAACGATTATCGTTCAGAAATTTTTGAAAAAAACGGAAATTTCGAGCTTTAACATATGAGCAGGGCCGTAACAAACCCAGATTTCGGGGGGGGGGCGACCCCAAAAATTTTTCACTAATATGACTAAAACTACAGCGCCGCAGGCAAAATTTTTGAAAACATAGGGTTTATAACACTAAAACTAGTGTTAAAAATAGCCAAAAACAGCGCCGCAGGCAAAAAATTTTTGGAAAAATGAAATCATAAGGGTCCCCCCTTATGAACTTTTCGGTCTTCGGCCGATTTCGGGGGGGGGCGCTCGCCCTCGCCCCTAGTGTTGGTTTTTTACCGGTACCGAAACCCAGTACCGGTACCGACAGCCATTTTTTACCGATGCCGTTTTTACCGGTACCGGACCTCCGGTACCGGTACCAAGCATGTACCGAGGGGGTCGGTACTTTTTCGGTACCGGTACCAAGTGAGTACCGACGGCATCTGTACTTTTTCGGTACCGGTACCAAGTCAGTACCGAAGGCATCTGTACTTTTTCGGTACCGGTACCAAGCCAGTACCGAAGGCATCGGTACTTTTCCCGGTACCGGTACCAAACCGACCGGTAACGGTACTGCGGGCCGGTACTGGCGGGGGCACAGGGTCGGGTTGCTTCCTGGCAGTGGGCCAGATGCGTGGCGTGTCGCAGCGGCGACGGGGAAAGGCGCGCCGGCATTTATTTCGAATTAAAGTAAGAGCAGAATTTATTTAGAACAGATAGCAATACAAAACCCAGTTTAAATCAAGGTAGGAATATGATTTATTTTCAAAACGCTATGGCAATACAAAAAAAACGTTAACAATAACTAGGCAATCGAAACAAACAACGCGAAACTTTGAAATAGATTTTGGAAAGACACGACTGAGATTGAAGGAAAGACAAACAAGCATATGTTCAACCAACAAAAAGATCCAGTGAATTATTATTATCATATTCCCAATCTGTATCCGGTTCGTCTCCATCGACCGCGTATTCTTCTTCCTTGCCCAGGAGCTCTTGAACAATGGCTGATAACCCCTCGTCCTAAAACCGATGGTATGTAGACAAATTCTTTGAATCTCATTCTTTCACAATAATTGATTCTTTTACTATATAATTCTTATTCATTCTTCTTTTAACATATATGGTAATCTCCAATACGACTTACACCATCAATCGCATTTTCCAGACATAGATCCTCTACGGCGAGTGCGGACAGTGCGGGATAACTGGCAGCATCCGGGCCCGGAATATCACTAAAGATGGTATAGATTGTGTTTAGAGAAGATACCAACCTTTCTGGTCGAAATCGTCGTTCTGCCAGTTGATGTCCGACCAGCAGCAACTTTTCGCATCTTTTCGCTCCTAGGCGATTACGCCTGGGATTGGCGTAGAGCAGGCCGGCGCGGCTGAAGAGTCTTTCACATTCGACGGATGTAGGAGTCACAGTTAGAAGGAGAGATGCAGCCCTATATTATAGCTAAAGCGATGAAAGATAATACTGACCTTTGGAATAAGGGGCACACGGCGGCGCGCTTCCAAATTTGCACCATATAATCTCCCATCTGCATATAGTTTGGAGCTGGTTGTCGGGAGATCAAACGGTCGAAGGCGGTCAAATTTTCCTATGACAGATAAAGGGACAAAGAAAACAACTAACGGCATATTGCTGCTCCAGATTCGATAGCGTTTCCACGGCGAATTTTCGACTAGTGCTCGGAGTGGCCAACAAGAGCTCCAGTATACCATCATCACGCGTCCCGCTCATCTAGAAAGACCTTTATCCTAACTACTTTATTTAATACCTTGCTTGTCGCCGGTTCCCTTTCGTCGATCCTTTCAAGGTTCGGGTTCTGTTCGCAGATACCTAATCAAATATTGGACAATAATGACAGACCTTACCTTGTATTAGCGCCAGAAGGGCAGCATCGTGCTCCCGGTGTTCCTCTTCCTCGAACAAAATATCGCTGTGCCGGACCAAGGGATTCAGCGCCGCAGCAGCGAGGACCAGCTTGTTTTCACGCGCCGTCTTCAGCCGAGCGCTTAACTCGCCGGAAATTGTCGCGTGTATACGGGCAGCCGTTGGCGAGTCCGGCGCTTTTCCCCTGTAATTTGTTACATTCCGATTTTTGTCATACCTTTTTAATCCCTTATCCAGCGTCGTCATGATATACAGATAGTCGAAAATGGTGGCTGCTCGTTGGCTCATCTAAAAAAACATTTACTTTTGATTATTGGACCACTTCTCGGTAAAAAACTTAAAATGCTTCAAGATTGGCAACAAGTCCAATACGGTGGCCTTTTCTTCTGCATTCAGCAAAAGAACCGTGTGTCGGTTCGAGACGCATCGCATTTCATCTCGCATTAAGCGTAGGGCCGATTCCTAAATCGATATACACAGATAAGCATTCGATTGACACCTTATCAATGTAGAACTCTAAGAGTTCGCAGCTCGTATTCCACCGTGTGTCACAGTCCATTAGTGCTCGATGCACGGCCTTGCCAAACTTCTGTTGAGCTCTGCAACGAAATTGATTTCATAACTTATGGCTCAAAAACTCACTCTTCGAAAGCTATTTTCCAAGGGCGCGACTTCTTGATTAACTTCATAATCTTGCGGACTTTGAGTAGAATCAGTTTCAATCCCTCATCTTTGAGCCCAGCATTTACGATTAGTTGCAAAAGGTGAGCAAGACAATGCACCCAGCCGGATTGTCTAAAACGAGTCTTGGTCAGGGAGATAATTCCTCACTTGAAGCCTCTGTCACATAGGTCCAATGCGAATCTTCTCTCATTAGAGGCCCCATCGCTGGTAACCGAACGGATTTTGTGTGCAGGGATGTCATAAAGCTCGAGCATCGCAGTCACATGCTAAAATGCGGCGCCCTATACCTTAATTTTAAAGCGCACCTGTAAAATATTATCCGAAGTGTGTTCCTCGTTAGACATGTCGCTGAGGCCCAGTAAGCGGCTGTGTCTTTCACCTTGCCCATCAACGTAATGTGCGTAAACACTAAAAGTTGATTTCAAAGAAAAACATGCAGCCAAACCAATGCAATGACATTATATTTCCTTTCGAACTCCAGCCATCACAACTCAGCCCGATGTCTGGGGTGTCACTGAGCTCAGATCGCAGGTTTTGCTAAAACTAATTTTAACAAAAATATGTACTAACTGACGGTATATTGCGCATACTCCTGATCGAGTAGTTCTTGGCTAACTCTGGCACGCGTCGGCGGTTTGAACTTGAATCCACTCAAGAGATCGGTCAGATTCCTAATCAAGAAATAATGAATATAAAGTATCTCACCGAAATTCGGGCGAATCCACCACGTTAAAACTGATGCTGTTCGCCACGAGAAATTCTAGGACGGCCCTTTCGCATTTTGCCTGGAAACCAAGCTCATTGGAAAGAAATTTTTCAAAATACTTGATAGTTGTTGGGTTCAGGTCCAAGCCGAGTCTTTTTCTTGGGCGTTGTCTCTGGCTCCTGTCCAGATTCATCGAGATCCTATGATCCCAGAAAACGTTAATCATTGAAATCTCGTTTACCTTCATAGCCTCGCTGTGTTTGGCATATAGGTGCTTCCTCAAGCCTGTTGTTGATCCACCGCTGCACGTGATCTTCTTTCCACAATGAACACACTCCGCGCGCCCATCCATTGGCATAAGGGCATGACGCCAGATGTTAGACTTCCTAAAGTAAATATATTTTCCAAAAAGACCCGAAATTTTTACCTTTTGCCCGTAAAGTCCTGTTTGAAGGCGGTGATGTTTGAATTATTGTCGGTCATATGGAATCCTAAAGTTCTGATTTTTTTGCAAATAGTTCAATTGAAAACAGCGAAAGACCGGAAGCAAGAATAAAGTCAGGAAAGAGAAAAAAAGAAAGCAGGAGAGAAGCAAAAAATGACAGTGGTTTTGATCGAATGAAAGTGATCGAGAAAATCAATAAAAGAAAAGTAAGTGTAAAGCCAAATAAGAATCCTCTAATGGATCAAACACGATGAAAAAATGAAGAGAAAATAAAATGACGTGTGCGGCTGGCTGCTGAGCGAGCATCCGGGGGCCGCCACGCAGCGGCGACACGCCACCCGTCTGGCCCACGGCGCCAGGGCAACCCGGCCCCCTGTGCCCCCGCCAGTACCGGCCCGCAGTACCGTTACCGGTCGGTTTGGTACCGGTACCGAAAAGGTACCGATGCCTTCGGTACTGGCTTGGTACCGGTACCGAAAAGGTACCGATGCCTTCGGTACCCACTTGGTACCGGTACCGAAAAAGTACAGATGCCGTCGGTACTCACTTGGTACCGGTACCGGAAAAGTACAGAACCTGTCGGTACCAAGAAAGTACCGGTACCGGTACCCGCCGAGTACCGCGGTACCCGAGGGGGGTTCGGTACCGGTACTGGGTTTCGGTACCGGTAAAAAACCAACACTACCCCCCTCTTACGGGCCTGCATATGAGCGATGTCACATCGATGGTAATTGCGGCTAAAAAAGAGCCTTTGTTAGATCCACTTGAAAAGCCGCAACATATTTAATTTTAATTTTAAATTTTACAGGATATCAATCGACGCTAAAGGAAAAGCGAAACAAAAACTACCGCAATCCAGGCTGCGTTTATAACGACAAATGAAGGAAGACGCAATTTCGTCGTCGACGTCCCGACGACCCGGCCAAAAAACCACACCTTCTGCACGAAATGCATCAGGCCCGATTTTTAAATAGGAACGGGACACAAAATTGAAAGCCGCCAATACCAGAGTCAAGTTGAGGAAGAAGAGGTAGAAATCGAGGCAGACACAATCCATCAGACTCGCGGACACAACTTTATGCATGATGTGGTCAAGTGGGCACAGTGGCTTGAGCAAAACAGATTGCGCAATTTTTTCGAGACACCTGAGCTATGAAGATCACAGGGTCTCACGGCTCGGGACATGGAACAAGCCGAAGGAAAGGCGCTAAGGCTAGCTGCTCTTCGACGAGCGAGAGGTTTTCACCTCTCGGGAGAGCTTTTCGAAGCAATCGTAATCCGAGCCGGTTTGGTCAGCGATTTCCCGTCCCAGAAATGGAAAGAGCTGGATTCCCAGTGGTGCCAGCAATTCTCGCGGAGGAGGGAGAAGGGCGCAACGAAGAAGAGGATTCCGATCTCGATCTTTCGGAGCACGGCGAGAACAGCTTGGCGGACGAGGCGCACCCTCGCCAAACGTCAAACGAGCCTAATGAGGAAGCCCGAAAGGAGGGCCCAACTAGGAAGCGCGTAATTAATCCATTTTTTTTAAAAAAATACGCCTTTTTTTTGGTGTGTGCGGTGCGAATAAAAGAAAAAAAAGCTTGCTAGAGACACCACACCCAACGTACGCACCAGATGCACGTGAACAAGACAAGGTAGTCAACCACCTGTACGTCCTGAAGGTGAGCGAACCCCCGGAGAAAATCAAGCGTCCTGACCCGGAGGAGCCGACCCCGGTTGTCAACAAACAACAGCCCTCCCATATTTTGACGCTCAACGAATTGATGGAGAAAAGGCACGCCGACAAACAGCGCAAGCAGAGTAGCCAGAAATCCGTCAACGATATCTGCGGTTTTTGTGGAGCAAACGGTTCTTTAGGATTTCCGGGGGATTTCCGGGGGAAACCAAATTTTTTCGGCCCAAACCTAAATTTTTTTTCTAAATAGCGCATGCGTTTCTAAATTGTTTTTAACTATACCTGAGCATAAAAACTACCCACATTTTAATTAAAAAAATTAATTTTAGGTCGAAAAATCCTATAGAACCTTTAGGATTAGCGGGGGGAGGGGGGAAAGACCCAAAATGACTAAATTTTCGACTTTTTCAAACATTTTTCCAACTTTTTTGAAAGGTTTTCTACTTTAAATATAGTTAAAGGTTACTAAAAACAATGTGAAAACACTTTATATTTGATTACTAGGTCAACCGGGAAAACCAGGAAAAAATTTGGTTCCCCCCCCCGGACATCCTAAAGAACCGAGCAAACCATCGCACCCGTGACTGCACGACACCGAAATACAGCGTCGCGGACAGGATAAAAATGGCGAACCAGGAAAAATGGTGCCATCGCTGCCTTGAACAAAGATGCCCCACCCAAGAGCGAACCATGTCCCGAAGGGAGAAATAATAAAAGGAGAAATTTCAACATTCTCGCGGGCAGGCTTGCCAGAAGGCAAAATGAGGAGAAAAGGCAAACCCAGCGACGACAAGGAGCGAGAATTTCGCAAACATAAATCCATTTGGATTCCCGAATTCTTGCCGGCCCCCAATCTCGCAACTAGCGACAGAGAAAGCCATTCCTACCGGAAGGCTTTTTGATCCCCGGTTTTCCACTTCCGGAAACCGTTGGGAGAACAGCCGGCTCCCCTCGCGCGGACACGTCATCCCAACCCGTTATCCATTACCACATTCACGGAGTTATATATCTTTAGTATTCTTTATACTCTAAAAGTTATTTAACTACATTTCAATACAATATATGCCTAGCCGACCGATCAACCACTGACAGGTATCATTTTGTACAAGTCCCAAATGAAGAATTACAATTTTGAAAATGAGTCGCCGAGATTCGTCTTTGTTCAGAAATTCAAAACTAGCTTTTCCCTGGTGCTTTTCAATTCACGGAAAAATTTTAGTATTGTTTTTTAGGTTTTTTTTGCGTATAACTTGGCCATTTCTCCCCCCGAAAATCAACGGATATCGATTTCCCCTGGGGGTCAACCAGTCAGCTGGCTGCTAGGCCCGGCGGGTGTAACTCTTTTGCCCAGTCTAAGCTCTTATTCTTTTCAATCGGCACTAGCCAGCCGCGTTCGTATTTTGCTCCGGCCAGACCGTTTTCTAGGTTGATGCACATTGAATTTTCTCGTTAATTTTCAAAAACTTCACAATGAATCTCAAACTCCTCACTCTCTCTCTCTCTCTCTCTCTCTCTCTCTCTCTCTCTCTCTCTCTCTCTCTCTCTCTCTCTCCCCTTCTCCTTTCTCTCTCGCTTCTCTCCCTCTCTCTCCCTCTTCTCTCTCTCTCTCTCTCTCTCTCTCTCTCTCTCTCTCTCTCTCTCTCTCTCTCTTCAAATAAAACGTTTCAGAATCACTTCTCGACTTGAATAATTTCTCCCCAACAATGGTGCTTGATATGAAGGGCGCCTTTTATGGATTTTCTAAACCAAATCATGAAACAATAGTTCAAAGTAAGAATATGGACCATTTAACACACATTTATTTTTTTAGTGTGAGGTAAGAAGAAGATGACAATGATGATGAATTAGATTAATGATCCCTGCTAGCGAGAAGGACTAATTCACAAAATACATATTTGAAGAAGGTAGGTTATGGTGCTATTCTGATCCAGCGCCGATCAATTCGGATTTCGCGGTTTTCGAGAATTTAAAAATCCCCTAAATTTCGTATGTAAATCTAGCGCTCCGGACTCTCGTTCTGCCCATCAAAATTGCGAAAAAGTGATTAGATTTTCTGAATTCCGTATTTATGCACTACGCAGACTGGCAGAAAAAGCCTATCAAGGCTCCTAACCGGGTATTAAAGAATTTGAAGTATAATTATCGCAAAAATAGAGCCGGAGAGGGCAGATTAACCGGGGTACGGTTTACCTTACCCTCCCCCCTGCCGGAAGGTTTTGACTATAACTTTTTGATTTTATATTAGTGTAGGCTCAAATGAAAACTCGTAGTACATTTTTCGCCGCTCTATCCAATGGCGTTGCAAAAATCCATACAGAGCGAAAATACCGAAAAGTTTCAGACCTTTCGTTTGTGGCGGGGGGTAAAGTGGGGCTCTGAGGTCCCGCGACTCGCAAATTGCCTCAAAAATTATATAAGGAAATTCAGGCATCTGATCAAAAATTCCACGCGACAGCCGGCTGGAAGATAGCTGACAAGCTAGTGAGCTGTCCTTGTGAGCTGTCCAAGAGAATGAAGGGACCAAAGACAGACGAGCCGATTTGGTGAACTGAACTACCGTACTACACTCTATATATTTGGGCTATTGTGCAGCTACCCACAGGCACAAGTTCCAACATGGTGCGTCGGCCGGGAAAATCCCCCGAACCATCCTAACACCACCAGAACGCGAATTTGAGGACCAGATGAAACAAACAATCAGGATCTGGGGCCGTACGGAGCGAATCGCGAACCTGATTAGTACATGGCCAACAAACCCCCCGGACGTCGCGACAATCATCGAAGTCGGCCTGATTGTCGAGCACTTCGAACTCACCAACAACCGACTGTTTCTCGACAAACGTAACCAATCGGCCGTCCTGGACAGACCGCAGGAGCTTGCCCGGTTGCACTGGTTGGCAATAGCAATGCTGGGCGTGGGGAGCCGCACCACAGTAAGGCGCCCGGTCGAAGACTTCAAGACAGTCATGAATTTCAAGTTCACGAAGGAATATCCTGCATGGAACTGGACGAGATAGCAGTCATCGATCACGACCAGAATGACTGAGAAGCGGCCGCCATTATGGGAATCGAACAGCAAATCGAGTTGTCCCCGGCAGACGCAGCCGCGTGCAACGGATCCACCAACAGAATGGCTCTTGTAAAAGTTGCGCGAAGCATCTGGGGAAGCCACCAACGCGTGCCTGCAATATTGATGAAATCAGGATGGCTCATACCGGAAAACCAGGGCGAAGATGAGGAAGATGACCACCCTCCAGCACACCTACACTTCCACAGCGAATCCCCTCACTGTAAAGTGTTTTTACTCAGGCTGGCGTTTTAGGATGGGACCAAGCCTATTTTGTACAGAATTTTTTGCTGATTCCGAATAGGTTTTCCAAATTTGCTGCGGACTTCGCGTTGAAAAGTCATTTGGGGTCTAAATTAAGCTTAAAAACGGCATAAATTCGGATGCTGGCCCACTATTCCTTGCCTGGGTCCAGGTATTGTTGTGCCCCTTATCTACCTTCCCAAAGCCCCGTTCTCAGTTGGCACCATAGTGCATTGCATTTTTTGCATAAAGCCGTGCTTTGACCTCTAAAACTATTACCAAGCCAGTTTTAACCTCGGAGGTGACGACAACTTACAAAATAACGCAAAAAAATCCAGATTTAGTCAGTTTTTTTAGCCTAAATGTCGAATAACTTTTAAATAAAGGTCGGCAGCAAATTTGGAAACCAGATTCTGAATCAGCGAAAAATTCTGCACAAGATAGGCTTGGTCCCATTCTAAAATGCCAGCCTGAGTAAAAACACTTTACAGTGAGCCTTGGTTCTCGTTTCTTTGTATTGTCCCAAATCTATACCGTTGTTCATTTGAGGTAACTCCGCCGTAACTAATAGGATTCCCCGAGTTGTCTCTAATCCAAGACCGTTTGTCGATTGCCGTTCCCATGCGTGCTTGCTGAACACTAACAAAAAGGAGAGGAATAAAAGCTTTTCCAGAAGCCCGTCAAGCGGTCAAGAAGAGGAGAAGCAAGGAAAAAGCGAGCATGGCGGACGACAAGGAAAAGAGAGAGGAGAAGGAGGAGGGGATCCAGATACAGGGATCCACCGTAAAGACGGTGCTAAGCGTACGTTTTTCAAGCAAATATTACATACAATTTTTTAAAGGTAAGCAACGTTATACGGCGACAAGAGCAAGAGCGGCGAGAAGAAGGGAGAAAACGAAAAGCCAGCGAGGAAACGTGTATACTCTGCAAACGTACTGGCCACCCGTCTTCGGAATGCAAGCAGCCAGAGGGCACCGCAAAAGAGAGGCATGACATGCTCAGGAAAGCGGGAGTGTGCCTACGGTGCATCATGGCCGACTGTATTCAACACCCAGCCAGCCAAAGGCAAAGGGGGGTGCCACAGGTACTGGAAAGAATGCTGTAACCAAATCGAATGCATCAGGGATGCCGTTACGCATTCGGCGTTGGTCTCTCAAAGGTAAAAGCTAGTAATGGATCTAACAAGGAGACGTTTTTGAGTGTCGTCGGGATTTTGGCATGGGACCTAGCCTACCTTGTGCAGAATTTTACGCTGATTTACGAGGATATGGTAACCGTTTTTGCGGAATAGCCATTTCTCGAAAGTTATGAACGATTTAAACCTCTAAACAGGCCAAAATCGGCTGCTTCCGGTAGTCATCAAAAGGCTTCGGAATAGGTTTTCGACAAAATTAAATAGTGCATCTTGTTCAGAAAAAATTCTCTATAAAATAAGCTACTTAACTCAAAATTGTTGGAATTTTGAAAAATTTTGTAAAATTAGGGTTTTTTTATTAAATTTATTAAATTTTTCTAACTTTTCAATGATTTTGGAGAAAATGGTACCTAGAATTTTTTTCTGAACAAGATGCACTATTTAATTTTATCTAAAACCTATTCCGAAGTCTTTTATGACGATCAGAAGTAGTCGATTTTGGGCTGTTTAGAGGTTTAAATCGTTCATAACTTTTGAGAAATGGCTATTCCGCAAAAACGGTTATCATATTCGGAATCAGCGTAAAATTCTGCACAAGGTAGGCTAGGTCCCATGCCAAAATCCCGACGACACTCAAAAACGTCTCCTTGGTAGCATCATTAACATTCTCCAGAGCCGTAACCGCCGAAAGGGTCCGCGCCTTGCCCGCAAGCTCCTTCCGCCTGGAACCGTCGATGTCGCCGCTGCCCAAAAAGAAGCAGCACTAAACTGCGGCTCCACTGCCCCCATCCCTAGCTTCTAGATTGTTCCTTATTTTTTCAAAAATTGTCTAAAGAATGTTTATTACATTAGGAAGGACTTTAATTAAGGAGGCAATGTTTTTTTCGGTAAAAATAAACAAAGGAATTATTTACGGAAGAAAGGAGAAAGCACTTAATTAGCATCCAAAGGAACCTCTCTAAAAATAGCTACATCAGGCGCAGGAGCAGGAGCGGGCAGATTAGCGTTTTGAGCGCGCTTGTAAATAACCCACAGACCAACCGTTTTACACAACGACAAGTAAGGGAAAGGCTCAAAAAGAAGTACAGGAGCCCGGTGACGAGGGGATGACAAAAATCATTCGGGGGACATTTGGGCACCGGCAAAACCGTCGGAGAAATAGTCGTCGAAGAGGGAAAAGTTTGGCTAGAGGAAAAGAAACGGTCTGTTTCCAAAGTGCGAGCAGACAGAGAATGCCAATGCCAGACACATTCCACGCCGGCCACGACGCTGAAAGCTTTGAACTTCCAAAAGAGGCTCGAGAGTTGTAAGCTCGTTCGGGGCAGTGACCAGAAAGCCACAACGATCATGATCAACGTTGGTTAGTACCAGCGCCAGGCGAAATCTGTTTTCAGGGAAGCGGTTGTATTAGAGATAGGAAAATATATTTTTTGAGTTTGCGCAGTTACAACAATTTCTAGCAGTTCAAACTTGACATTCGCTCACGAGCACCACGCAAATATAAACGTTTTCGCATTTGACTTGCTTTTCGACTGTAGCTTTGAAAAAAATTTTTCGGGGGGGGGGGCTCTATTGGCGGAAATATGGTATATTTTGTTCGGGATTTTAATTTTCGCAAAATTGTCTTTTGATTGCCTTGTGAAAAATCGGGCCCCGACATTAAAAACTTCTGTTTTCTATATTTATCAAAAATTATAATGATCTCATTTTCAGAAAAGCAACAAAAAAGAGGGTGGAGCTGGCCACTGGAAGGCGTGATGCCGGCACTTCGTCTGGCCGGAGCGAAATTACAGTGCACAGCCGCCACGCTCGCATCAGGTATTTCATTCCCTTATCCCAGGAGAATGACAATGCTTCTAGCGAGGAGCATCAGGCAATCATCCTCTCTCCATAGTGGAAAAAATCAAATTTGCCGTCCGGAGCCGGTCCCATCTGGAAAATCACAACAATCCATCGATTCAAAAAAAACCCTCGGAATTTGACGGCTTTTATGCCAGCGTTTCGATCCTTGTGTACCATCTTTTTTATATGCTGATTCGAATAAACGGACTTACCAGTTTTAAATTATATTTTTTAAGTCAGAATAAACGGGTGAAAAAATCAAAAAGGATATACCTATCTGTACCATCAGCAACAGTAACATTTCGGGTCGGGTCGTAAAAAGCGCCCGTTCTCTCTCACTCTCTCTCTCGCTCTCTCTCTACCTCCCTCTCTCTCTCACTTGCTGCGTCTACTTACGCTGCGCAACCCCCATCGCCCCTTTCAACTGCATATCACCCCAAGCGCGGCATTCCAAAAACGCTTAGGCGTCGTTTGCCTAATCACCATTCCATTCTGTTCCAGGGAAATGTTCAAACATTTAATTTTCCAGGCTTTAATTTATCAAAAACTCCTCCAATTTGTCTTCCAGCTTTTATTTGAACTTTTTACTAAAATTTTCATGGCTTTGCGAACCCTAAAATCTCGCTCATTTCAGGACTCGTCTTCAACTTGTGCGTATTCTACCAAGATCGAGGCCTTCGAAAATGGCCTCTATCGAACGTTTCAAATGAGATGAATTGGAGCTAATTCGAGACGAAACCACATACTTTGGGCTAAACCGGATCAGAAAAAGTCACCGGGAGATCTGGCCGACCACGTTAATGCACTCATGTGTGACAATTTGAAGGTAGGAGTGCATTAAGAATATAAAAATCTCCATAAAAGGAAAACCAGGAAAACTTACCTTTTACATCGGGTTTCTACGCCAGGTTGTTATTGATTTCGACAAATTATAGCATTCTGAAGAAGACTTTGTTTCTACAATGTAGCCTGATTTTTATGCTTACGCCATGCCGTATTTTTTGTGGATATCACCGGCTTTCCTCAAATGCAAGATTTCAGACGCGCAAAGAAAAACCGTATCGTACATGAGGATGGGCCTCGAAGTAGATGGGTTGAAGATGAAGAGCGCATGATAGAATTTGAGCAACAGCAACAGTTTTTTGAAGGTAGGAAATTTAATTTATCCTTTACCCTCCGACAAACCCGAATTGTGAAATTCTTTTGTTAAACTGCCTCTCGAAAGCAAACCATTTAAATTTCAAAAATTTAGGTGCTAGCTGCGAATGATAAAACCTGGAAAACATTGGAAATTAACGTGCAAAGCTCGGGAGCTTTTGGAGAAAAAGGCAGCGGAAACTCCGAAAAAAAATGGATGAAGGTATGAAAAAGCCTCAGCTTAATTATCATCATTAACCGGATTCCAAAAAGGCTAGGCGTCTTTTGCTTGATTACCTTTCCATTATGTTCCCAGCAAATGGCAAAATATTTTTACCAAGCTTTAATTTAAATAGCAAGAACTTTGCACTCGTGCTTTCAGCTTTTTATCAAAATTTTCACGGTTTTGCGAACACTAAAATATTGCTCATTTCAGGACCCGTCTTCAACTTGTGCGTATCCGACCAAAAATTGAGGCCTTCGAAAAGGACTCTATCGAACGTTTCAAATGAGATGAATTGGCGCTAAATCGAGACGAAACCACCTATTTTGGGTTGAACCGGATCAAAAAGGTCACCGGGGGATCTGGCCGACCACACCAATGCACTGATGTGCGACAAATGGAAGGTAGGAATGCATTAAGAAAATATAAATTTCCATAAAAGAAAAACCAGAAAAAGGTGCTTTTTACATCGGGTTTCTACGCCAGGTCGTGATCGATTTTGACGAACTACCCATGCTCAAAAACTACATTTTTGTATAATTAGCAGCTATTGTTTATGCTGGCACCAGGCACGATTTTACTGAAGATCACCGGCTTTCTTGAATTACGAATTTTCAGGTGCGAAAAGAACGTCATCTTCACGTATTCGGAAGAGTTCAATAGTAGATGAGATAAAGATGAAGAGCGCAAAATAGCACTTGAGAAACAACAATGGTTTTTGAAGGTAGGGAATTTAATCCATCCTTTATCCTCCGACAAGCTATGGTTGTCAATTCTTTATTAAGCTGCTTCTCGAAAACAAGTTACTTTAATTGTAAAAATTTAGGTGCTACCTAGAAAAGATCAAGATCGAGAAACATTGGGAAGCAAAATGATAAAAATTCGAGCGCTTTTGGAGAAAAACACCGCGGAAACTCCGAAGAAAATAAATGAAGGTATGAAAAAGTCTCACCTTAATTATCATTATTAGACGAGTACTAGTACCAACAATCATATTTTATCTTTAAATAAAAACGCGAAATTTGTAAGCAATTTTGAGTTATGCGACTGGCCAAAATCGCGAAAATAACTATGATATTTTAGTTGCGAAAAAATTGGCATATACCTCGACGACGTCGCGATCAAAAAAATGACAAAGAAGAGCTCAACGAATGGAAATGCCAAACCTACTAATGCAAAAATTTGAAGAGCTGTCGGAGGCAAAATTCAATAAAAGCACTAAAGAAAATGGATGTGAGGTATGGAAGGCTACGGTTTACTTAACCCCCCCCCCCCCACCCACCAGAAATGTTTTGGCTATAACTTTTTTATTTTACATTATTGTAGGCTCAAATTAAAAATCTTAGTATATTTTTCGACGCTCTGTCGAATGGCGTTGCCAAAATCCCGACAAACTAAGTGAAAATACCGAAAGCCTTCAGACCCTTCTGCTGGGGGCGGGGGGGGGGGCTAAAGCAAACTCTGAACGTATGGATAAGTTTCGAACAATCCCTCATCCCGAAATCGCCAAAACAGCTTAATATTCAAACTTTTAGGTGTGAAGGATAGCGTCGCAAGCATCAGCAAGAAGCAAAATGCAGAACGAAAAGATGGGGAGATAAACAAGGATCACGTGATAGAAAAATTAAAAAGGTGAACTTGAATATCTCCGTAATTTTTGAGGGCATTACCTTTAAATTTAAATAACCAAAACTATTTTAATTTACGGGATTTTAGGTAGAAGACAGGATACATCGGTATGTTTAGCGGGGATGACTCCAGGAGAAAAAAAGCAATATGAAGAGCGAAGATTGGAAAAAATTAAGGCAAAATAACGAAAAGTTTTTCGAAAGATTCATCGTGGGCCAGAAAATGATCACGCACCGCGCATGGCTTCATAATCGAAACTTCTACGGAAATTATCGGAAGAGTCACGAAATACCAACTAACGCTACACGAAAACGGCAAAAATCACCAAAACACTACCCCAAATCGACGAACATAACCGAAATCGGAAAGCGCGCAAGAAGTGCGCGGAAATAAATTGAAGAATATTTTAAGTCCAATTTTGTCAATGAAGCATCAAGAAACGCCGGAAATAGTTCGGAATCTACATTTATTTTACGCGAAATTAAAGTAGAAAATCGATGGAGAGGTCGAAAAACTACACCGCACATTTTGCGAGGCTATATCCGGATCCGAGACAACTTAGCCCGTCAAAAGAAAAATTATATCTTCACCGGGCGGAGCTTCGAACCGCATCCATCCATGTACCTACCGAGAGATCAAATCTTGGATTAGAGAAGTGAGTGGCCCTATTAAATTTTCTAAATCATCCTGGAGTACCAGTCAGTCAAAAACTTTTCTACAAATGGAATTTTTCAAGTATTAGGGTCGAAAAAATATCTGTTAAGGAAAAAGTGTCTCTACAGCTCAGAATTTTTTATATGGTCCTTATGTCCCTTTAATCGATGAGTCTCGCAAATAAAAAAAATACAGCCGTATTAAACCCGAGGTACCAGGACGCATAAGTTAACTTTCAGGCAAGTACGCACCTCGGATGAAAAGAACATTTACGGAGAGCCTGTTGACCGATTGCTAATGACGTAGTGCGCCTCACTGGAGCCCCAGACACTTTTCAGTAAGTTATTTAAGGTATTTAAAAGGTATCTAAAAGGTATTTAAAAATTTGGGCCCCAATTCAAGTAATTAAGGAAACAAGGATTCTAGCAGCAATAGAAAACGAAAATAACCTTGGCTTGGTTTCCTTCCGTGCTAGCATTTTTAACGGCTTATCGAGTCGCACAAAGCAACTCTGAGAGAGCCACCTATAGTTTTTTTGTCACCGGTCATGTCATGTCATGCCTTCAAATAATATTACCCCAACCCCTCATGAGGTTTTAACTAGCATTTGCGCATCAAATTCAATTTATTTTCAGCGCTGAATTCTCCAGGCGAATGCCAACTGCTTGTTGAATGATGTGAACGATTGGATTGAAAAATAGGGGGCCGGACCGGAAGGATGTGCCCAAAACAGCGTTTGGAAGTCATCTCGAATTCGGCGATGTTTCGTTATGTCTATAGGATTTGTCATAAATGTTTGCTAAAAAAAGTGGTACGCCAGTTAAGAAAATACGCAGAAGTTTCCTGTTGGCTATGATGCGTCCAGTAACAAAAAGGCTTGCAAACCAAGAGAGAAAGAGGGAGAGACAGAGAGACAGAGACGAAACGTTGAGATTTTACCGAACGTTAATATATGATGATAAATAAATAAATTTATTAATGCGTTCTTATGGACCGGAGGGAAAGCCTAAAGAATAACGAACAAGACATAAAGATCGACATCCACGAGGTATAATTTCGTAGTAGTATCATAAGATGCTCATAGAATTTTTGATATGTTAGAGTAATGACTAGTTTTAGGATTATCATTTGAAAAAGCCTTCCAGAAAGCTTCTTCTCTCAATTTACGTAAGCTATTAGGTTGGAACATAAGTTCGCGCAATCGAACTTTGGAAATTTCTTTCTGAAAATTTAGTGGCCAGATTCCGATGTTCCCTTTTTGCATTTATCTATTGGGCTCATGTGTATGTGGGACCAAGATTACAGGATTTGAGCCCCAGTAGTTTTGAAGATTTTTGCGTTTCTCTCGAGGGCACTTCAAATTTTTGACCCGGACATCTTTCCGAAACGCCATAAAGTCACCATAGGAACTGATCATCGCTATAATAATAAGTTATATCTATCAGCTGCACGCCGAATTAGCCTAAAAAGGAAGCCAAATTTGTTTTGTAAAGGCGGGCCGACGCGATTTTTCATTTTCGCTTAAATCTAGCTTAAAAAATTTTAATAGGGAAGCAACGCGATTCCGTCCCACACATCGAATAGAGCATTTTATTGCATATCCGTTCATCCAAAAAACATTTTGGTTCTTGCCCGTTTTCCGGTCCGAATATTACAAAGAAAGAAAAATATTGCGCGAACTTTAGTTCCAACCTAATATTTTTCAAATTGGCGGGCCGTCAATGTGTAGTCTGGAGGCCCCTCCTGGGGCTTTGGGCCATTGGGCCCTCGGCTCTAATGCTATCAACTAACTAAACTTCCGAGATATACAACAAGATACATCTGCTTTTTATCTTATATGCAATTATCAGCTCGCATTTCGATGCGATTTTTTAGATTTTTCAATAAAAATGATCAACTTGCTTTCTAAGGTTTGACTCTTTAAAAATTTGATTGCTAATCAATAAACTTTTTAATCCACGTTTTAATTCGCTTTTTAATTCGTCAAAAACAGTTAGGAATTACGGGCTTCCTAGGTCCGGGTCCAATCCGCAAATCAAGTGCTCCGGGCGGGGGTCGAACCCGCATCCTACGGCTTTCGAGTCCGATGCTCTCTCTCCCTATTGAGCTACCGAAGCACGCGGAATGCCTCTCTCAGGGCAGCTATCCATGCCAGCCCAACCACCCTCCCCTCCAAGATGACTGGTCCCACAGGCATTCTTGCGACTGCGGCCTTAATTCGTCAGAGCTTGTGCAGGGTCGGGAAAATCCTTCCGTAGTCGCCAGTTAGGAATTACGGGCTTCCTAGGTCCAAAGATAGCTCCGGGTCCAATCCGCAAAACAAGTGCTCCGGGCGGGGGTCGAACCCGCATCCTACGGCTTTCGAGTCCGATGCTCTCTCTCCCTATTGAGCTACCGAAGCACGCGGAATGCCTCTCTCAGGGCAGCTATCCATGCCAGCCCAACCACCCTCCCCTCCAAGATGACTGGTCCCACAGGCATTCTTGCGACTGCGGCCTTAATTCGTCAGAGCTTGTGCAGGGTCGGGAAAATCCTTCCGTAGTCGCCAGTTAGGAATTACGGGCTTCCTAGGTCCAAAGATAGCTCCGGGTCCAATCCGCAAAACAAGTGCTCCGGGCGGGGGTCGAACCCGCATCCTACGGCTTTCGAGTCCGATGCTCTCCCTATTGAGCTACCGAAGCACGCGGAATGCCTCTCTCAGGGCAGCTATCCATGCCAGCCCAACCAAACGCTTAAGGCAGATCTCATAAAAAAATATGCCGATTCGCTACTTTTCCGCTCTTCACTGGGACTTCTTCGTTATCCGATTTCTTTCCTACGTCGTGTTGAGCCTGCAAGACCAAAACTTACTTTTAGATCCCAATCTCGGCTTGGTTAATTTTTCCAAGAACCGTTGCGCCTTCGTAAAATGGCACCTTTGATTGGTACACCAAAACTCGAGAAGAATTTTACAAAACTTTCATTTATTCCCTGAAGTGATACTCGTGTGACATCAGGTTCATGGAGGTCGAATTTAGGTAAAACTCGTTTTCCGGAAACCTCTATTTTTAAGTGTGCGGAAAAATTGATAAGCGAAACTTCAACGAGTCGATTAATAACATGGAAACCTGTAAACGGCTTTTTAAATGCTGAACGTATGCGAGTGTGTATGCGAAATTGTCATTAGAGTTTATTTAAAAATATTTCAAAATAATTTTTCGGGGGAATGGCCGATTTCCTGACAAGGAGACGTTTTTGACTGTCGTCGGGACTTTGGCACGTGACCAAGCCTATCTTTGTGCAGAATTTTACGCTGATTCCGAATATGTTAACCGTTTTTGCGGAATAGCCATTTCTCGAAAGTTATGAACGATTTAAACCTCAAAACAGCCCAAATCTACTACTTTCAATAGTCATAAAAGGCTTCAAAATAGGTTTTAGACAAAACCAGATAGTGCATCTTGTTCAGAAAAAAATTCTCTATAAAATGTACCATCTTTTTCAAAATCATTGAAAAGTTGGAAAAATTTGATAAATTGGGAGGTCCATAATTTTACAAAAATTTTCAAAATTCTAGCATTTTTGAGTTAAATGGCTTATTTTATAGAGAATTTTTTTCTGAACAAGATGCACACTCAAGTTTTGTCTAAAACCTATTCCGAAGCCTTTTATGACTATCGAAAGTAGCCGATTTTGGGCTGTTTTGAGGTTTAAATCGTTCATAACTTTCGAGAAATGGCTATTCCGCAAAAACGGTTAACATATTCGGGTTAACATATTCGGAATCAGCGTAAAATTCTGCACAAGATAGGCTTGGTCCCGTGCCAAGGTCCCGACGACACTCAAAAACGTCTCCTTGTGAGACGAAATGGTGTCTCGGAAGCGTCCCACCAAACCAGAATATCGTTTTAGAATGGTTAATGGCCCTATGTTTCTTTTTTAAGAGCCACAGTCGCTGAAAAACAAGGAGAATAGCAATTTTTGAAGCGCTACGATTTTCCTTAACTACTTACAATTAGGATACTTTAAATCTATTTCGTAAAATCCGAATCAACTTGCGAAATAATTAGCCTTTTGGATAAACTTACCTGGAGACGTGTTTGAGGGTCGTCGGGACTTTTTGATGGAACCAAGTGTAGCTTGTGCAGAATTTTGCGCTCTAAGGCGCTATATCGTGATTGTGAAAGTCTTGCCGATCCCCATGCTTCGTGTAATAATACGAAAATTTCAGGATGATGAAAAATGCCGATCAACATGTTTGAGTACTTCTTTCGGCGCTATCCAAGCGCTGTCAGGTCACCAACGGGAAACGAAATATGGTCGTCCGAAAGCTTCACGCTTGAAGAATTCAAGAAGAGGGAAGAGAATTAGAGTAGATAAGATTGAAGCAAGAAGAGGAAAATAACACTTATGGGCTCTAGTAAAGCAGTGCAGATCTGGGAAGTTAAATTCGAGGTGATTCACGTGCTTCTAATTTTAAGCTCCATTTTCAGGCACTTCAAACCACAACCGTATGTATACTTTTGATGGTTGGTGGCTGGAGTCTATTCAAGTCTTCAAGACAATGGGAAGTTCTGTCGCTGTAGATTCGGCGTATGACATCCAAATCAGGTACCACATAGTTCTAGAGATGTTACGCATAGCGACGCGACGTCGGGATACCATGCAAATCAGGGTGCAAAGCACAAAAAATTGTTTTGGCTAGCTGGTTTTCGACTTTGCACCCTTATTTGCATGTTATCTCGACGTCGCGTCGGTATGCGTAACATCTCTAGTTCTAACAAGGGAACTTTCCGAATTGAAATTGCGAGTGATTAATGGGAGACCCCCACGTCCATACTAGTTTTTGACGTTGATTCCGTTTCCGCGAGCCGTTTAGTGATTTTTATGGCTAGAATCGCGATAATTTTTTACATAGGGCCTGTTATTTTGCAACGCAACGCAACGCAACGACTCCGCGTAGTTACAAAAAACTCCCCGGATCTCAAAAACTAAGGGACTGCGGCAAAAAGACTTGCAGATTCGGAAGTAGCGTAAAAAACCGTTCTAGACAAGTAATCTCCCATTAGTCGCTCGAACTTCCGCTTTGCAACCGTTCCCTTGTACGGATTTTGGACAAAAACTCCCCCAACCGGAACCTCGCCTTTTGCATTCGAAATTTCCTTAATGTCCGCTATATTTTGGATTTTAAATGTGATATATTTTCTCTGCTGCTTTGTTAAGCTGCCAATTTAAATCTATGGTTTTTCAGGGAAAAATCTGTGACTTCACATGTTTAAATACAATTCCCAATGATAATCAAACGTCAAATGGGGTGCTGCAAAAATTAATATCAGGTACTGTTCCGGAAGTTTGTTTTGCCAAGTTAATTTCCGACCCGATTTTTTTAACTGGAATTTTGAGCTCAAGGCTTGGTAATTTCGGTTTTTAGGACAATAGCTTGAGATTTCGGGATGTGCTTTCTCACCCGAATTATATCGGCAGCGTTCTGGAAAAGGAAAACAAATGGTGTGCGCGTCATAAGCACTCCTTTGCCAATGATTTAAATTTTGACTATGGACTCACGTTAAAAAGTGCAGATCCGGAGACGTGAAGTAACACGGTAATTGCAGTGCTCAAATTTTCGATAAGCGTCAAATCCAGATACATCCGAACACAAATGGAGATCTTCTTCAGAGGGTTGGTTGTGCAACCGATTCGATCCCATCGACCTTTTTAGAAGGAATACTAATGCAAAACCTGTACGAATATACGTTTCGAAGCGTTGCTAAGCACAATCATAGCTCTGTCAAGATCTGCTGGACTGGTACAAAAGAGAAATGAGGTACTACTTGTAACGATTTTCTAGTTCTATTTCTATAGTTTAATAGGAATATTAAATAGCTTTATTCTGTTTCCTACAGGGTGTCGATAAAAAACACCCTTTCTAATACGGCGCAGAAGTATCGGGTCAAAACGATAGTTACACTGCTCGAAAGTCCTTGAAACGGCAAGTTTGCAACTGCCCTCAAAAGTAGATCTTTTGTTGCACCAGCCCTTATAAAATTTATTCAAAAAACTTAAACAACGGCCTCGGTATCGAATGAACGGCAACTTCCTGTCATTTTGCTTGGAGAAATTGAGGCAAAATAGCTCGTATGCGACCCGAAAAAACCGCAAAATTTTACAAAGCGACTTGCAAAATAGCGCATTTAAATCAAAACATGATTTTGAAGCACTCCAATGGTGTAAGTACCATTTCGATCCGATACTACTGCGTCGAGTTAGCGGGAGTGGTTTTTTGTTGGGACACCTTGCGATTTTATCACTTTTCTAGTTCAGTTGAGTTCAGAATTTATTGGTGCTTGATTTTCAGCCATCATAAATCCAGATTTTTTTGAGGAAGACACCTAGAACTGCAGCTGGTGTGTACTGACCAAAGTCAAAACAAATATGAAAGAATTATGCAAGCTAACGAAGTTCCATATGGATTTGATCTCGGATCCAGAAAGCTGAACTTTAGGTAATTAACGGTCTCCGATTCCTTCAGATTCAAATTTAGGCCCTTTAAACCACAACCGTACGTGTACTTATTGGAGGTTGGTTTCCCTACCTATTTGCCTCTATTGAAGTTTTAGAATCAAGTTTTCTGCTGCACTTGTACGAGTAGATCCGACCCAACACTACGAACGAGTGAAGTTCTGCCAGGATCTGCTGGACTGGTACTAAGGAAAATAAAGTACCAAGCTAAAACGGTAATAATTTTGCTTTTAGTAAAAAAGCAGGAAAGCGCTCGTTTTTTATGATTGGCAATAGCTTTTGTCATAAAAATTTTCTTCTCATGTATGCTTTCCAAAAATTTTTCGTAAAAGTGAAATTACGGCTACCTGCCACGGTAAGACATCACCAATTTCAGACACGCCCATGCATCAGCTCGAAGTCAAAAGCAAAAATGCCATGTATCGTTCCATGACACCTGGCGAGAACGAAGAATATCCCCGTATTATGGCGATTCACTACGAGTACGGCCCTACCAAATGGACAACTAGGAGATATCCTGGCAAGCTGTTTTCCGACGAATGATCGTGACATGGGTCGCCACCAAGGACCTGGCGGAAAGGGCGAAGTCCGCCGTACGGAATAAAATCGGAAATCGGAAGGAAGAAAGGTGAAGGTTATGTTTGACACAGCGATTTCAAACGATTTTAAAGGGGCCCGAAAGTGCCAAATATCAACCCCCTTTGGGCGGGGCCTTATATTTCTAGCAAATTGCCAGCGGCCGCAGCGGGAGGAGAGAGAGCGATGGCTCTTTCTATCTTTGCGCGATTTCTTTATGAAAATACTATAATTTCGAAATTGCCAGAAATGTAAGGCCACTTCCAAAAGGAGCTTCTGTGCTCCTTTAAGCTGCATATACCGAAAAAATTTATTATTTGGCCAAGCCCGGTCATTTTGCCCCCGAATTTCGGGATGTTAATCGATCAAAAAAAGATGAGCCCCCTCCATTTTACCCCCCGCTCCAACCCGCTTTAATACCCTGGACGAATCGAACAATTCAATTCAGGCCTGATAGTAGCCATACCACGCCGACTTTTCCGCTTGCTTCGTTCGCTCCCGGGTCAGAAATCGCCTTTTGAGTGCTCGATCCTCGCTTAGTCCTATGGAAAAGGTAAGGAAAAAATTACTTCCTCTCCTCTCCGCCACAGCTATCAAGATTAAGAATTGCAGGTTATGTTGACGGCGTCTAAATCAGCAGCAATTTCAAGTTCTACAAAATATCCAAGTTCTAAAAAATTTTGAAAAAGTCCATTCTACCGGTATCCACCGCGATCGAAGATTTGTTAATTATTTAGCCTATTTTACAACATCAGCATAATAAAGGCTTCTTTGGAAATTGGACTCTGCATATTGAATCTCACACAAGATATTATATTCGGGGGCTGGGAACGACCGGAAAGAGAGGGAGCGAGAGAGAGAGCGAGAGAGAGAGAGAGAGAGAGAGAGAGAGAGAGAGAGAGAGAGAGAAAGAGAGAGAGAGAGAGAGAGAGAGAGAGAGAGAGAGGGCGAGGCGAGAAAGATAAAGAGAAAGCGAGCTAGGAGAGAGAGAAAGACATAAAGCGAGAGATAAAGAGAAAGAGGGAAAGAGCGGGAGCGCGAGGGAGCAGGAGAGAGTGCGAGAAAGAGAGAATGAGAGGGAGAATGAAAGAGAGAGAGAGAGAGAGAGAGAGAGAGAGAGAGACAGCGACAGGTAGGGAGAGAGAGAAAGAGAAGAGAGAAAAATAGGGTGAAAGATCGTCCAGGAATCGAGCTATTCTTCGGAAATTTTCTTGCTACCAATCGGCATCTGCTGGTTTTGAGTCCATTCAAAACGTGTCTAGAACCGGCCCTAACCATTAAATTACTGTAGCACATGAACAACGCTGCGCTTTTCTACGGAACCCAACTCTACCTGCGCAAATTTTTAGCTCCTCCTCTGGCTCAAATTTTTGGCGATTTATTGTTGGGACACCCTGTACATACGCATAGCTTTGGCGCCAATCGCCTGCTGCCCGGGGCCCCTTGGATCGTAAAGAACGTCATTTTGCCGATATGGGTCAAAATAGCTTACCTGGCCTCGGGATGGACCACAACACAACCTTTATGGTCCACGGCCAGGGCCCTGCTGGCACGCGCGCCTCAACTTACTGCCGTTATATTCATTCCATATCGCCTCCCATTCTGACTGTAAAGTGTTTTTACTCAAGTTGGAGTTTCGATTCGGGACCAAGTGCATCTTGTGCAGAATTTTTTGCTGATACCGAATCCGTTTTCCAAATTTGCTGCGGACTTTTATTTAAAAAGTCATTTTTGGTGCAAATTAAGCCTGAAAAAGCCAAAAATTCGGATCCTGGTCCACTATTCCCTCCATGGTTCTGCCTCGCCCAGGGGTCCTGAAGTACTCTGTCACAGCTCCCATCCCGGTTGGCACCATGGTGCATTGGCAAAGTACTCGCTTGCCAAGCGCAGGACGGCGGTTCGGATCCCCACCCTGCACCTTTCTTTTGCTTTTTGCATAAAAAAATTTAATTTTTTATAAAAAAGCTTGTTTTGACTTTTAAGATGCTTGTCTAGCCAATCTCTAGCCAATTTTGAAGTTTAAATTGAACAAGAGATTCGAAAGCGATAACGGTTCCTTGATTTTGGTGAAAAACACTACCATAATTGCCGTATAACTTTCAAAATAAAAGTCCGCAGCAAATTTGGAAAGCGGATTCGGAATCAGCGAAAAATTCTGCACAAGATGCACTTAGTCCCGAATCGAAATTCCAACTTGAGTAAAAACACTTTACAGTGAGCGGACCCATTTTTTCGTATGCTCATGAAGTACCTCTCGGAATACCGTTAATTTATGTGTTACAATGCCAATTTAACGCCCCCCTCGCTCTCTTTCTCTCTCTCTCGCTATCTCTCTCGCTCCCTCTCGCTATCTCTTTCTATCCCTCTCTCGCGCTCTCGCTCTCTCGCTCTTTAGCACCCTCTCTGTCACTCTCTCTATCTCTCCCTCTCATTCCCTCGCTCTCTCTCACTTTCTCATTTCCTTGCTCTCTCTCACTTTCTCATTTTCACATTCTCTTTCACTCTCTCTCTGTCTCTCACTCTCCCTCTCTCTCTTTCTCTCGATCTCTGTCCTTAGCACTCTCGTTCTCACTCTCTCGCACTCTCTCTCCCCCTCTTTTCGGTAATCCAATTCGTTTTCAGGTTCGGCCTTTACTTGAGGGAATTCTTCCAAACCACAGGCGCCTTCCGAAAAAGACGCTGCTTTTCGGATGCATATATGCATTCGGATTGAACTATTTTATCAGATGGATCCGTCTTCAGAAGGTGATATCTACGTTGCGCCGGTCAGCCGAACACAGTATTTATTTAAGCTTATCGTTTATTTAATTCCTAATTTTCAATTTATACATTTAAGTTCTGGTTCGTTAGCAGGGGGGGTCGGGGGGCTCTCGGGGGAATTGAATAATTGTTACTTGTTCCAGACAATTCCGGCAACCATCGGGGGCCATGGCGAGCTTTACAAATGGAGGGTCCAAGACTGGAAACGACGCGCTCGCTATGAAGCGTGTCGCGCTCGACGACGACACGTTGCATCGGGAGCGACAAATGAAGGGGCCATATGAGGAGGTGATTTTCGACGGCGAAATTCTAGTTTGCCCCTTCCCCCCGGCCCAAACTTTTCAACCATCAGTCCTATTAATGCGCCGACCATCTCAACATGTTCGCCTTCGGCCAAGTTGTTTTCTTAAGCCAAAAATCGTCAAAAAAATTTTTATAGCAATTATAGGTCTGGATTTCCTTGAGTTATTTTTTGCTGGACCAAAGTGAACATTAGTATCTCGGCTTTCTTTAGGCTTACAGTGCTGGCAAGTGACCAAAATGTAGCCCTTACTCTGTAAAGTAAGGCAGATTACATTTGAGTAGAAAACACTGGCGGGAAATCGAAATATTCGAGTTTGAAACCCGTGGTAGATCGAGGCAAAACGAATTAACCTTTTCGACTTTTAAAATCTTGTAAAATATTTCCTAGCGATTTTTGGGGTCAGAAAACAGCTTGGCCGAAGATATTCGACCATGGCAAACATATTGAGATACTCGGCGCAGCTCGGCATTAATAGGTCATGTGGCTGAAAAATTGGGGTTGGGGGGGGGGCGGGTAAACTAGACCCTTACCTTCCAGACCATAAGCTAATACAGCCGGATTCTAGCTAAAGATAGCGGATAATTTATTTTTAAGGATTGAGCTACATCGAAAAGATTGACTCATACATAATAGCGATGGACTACGCGGCCGCGATAGATTTATTCAATTACGAGTGTAAGCTATTAGAATTACATTAATATAAACTATTCACTACAGACGGATACGGCGGAATAGGCATGGATGAGCTCGCATATTTACACCAGTAGATGTGCAAAGGGTTGAAGGCAATGCATAAGATAAACGTGGTGCACTTGGACATGAAACCCGAGAAGAGATGATCCGACGGGCATAGCGGTAAGTAATAATATAGTAAATTACCTAACATAGGAGAAGTAATATAGCTTAGTACGTATGATATATTAATCTATCTTTTCAGGGACAGTGCTCATATGTGCTACCGGATAATGGATTATATGGTGGGCAGGGACTCTCACTATGAATGTTAGCTAAAAGAACCAAATTAATATAATCTGCTCACTATAGACGGGTGCGGAGGACTGAGCATGGACGAGATGACGTACATCTACAGGGAGCTCGCCAAAGGACTGCAAGCCATGCACATGCTATTTCTAGGGAGAGAAGCAAATTCTACGAACTGAGGACGCCGTTTCTGGATCCGCGGGTAATTTTACAACCTTTTTACAATCAAATTGTTACTCCTCATTCTCGTTTGCTTATTAAAAATCGCGAAAGAACCACTGACAAGGAGAGGTTTTTAGGTGGGCACGGAGTTTTGTAACAAGACCTAGCTCATTCGAAAGCGCGCGAACAACTGAGCAAGATCCCGTTTTCCATTTCTGCGAAGCGATAGCGATTGATTTCTAATAATTAAATTAAAGAATTAGCAGAAATTGGCATGATTCCCCCTCGCGCGTAGCGATTTCCTTCCCTGGATCCCCTCTGTCGGAAAGCCAGGCCATGCCTTCCCTTCCCCATAGCGATTTGGCGCAGTCGGTACGGCGTTTGCCACTCACGAAATTTTTTTGAACTTTTTATCAGTTCGACCCCTTGGCCCAGAGTTCTTTTGTCAGGCCTTTTGAATTCCTAGCCCCTTTAATAGTCCGCTTTCCAGAAATGATCATCATCAACCTAATGGGTCCGGTCAAGATGAATTGAAAAAGCAAGTAGCCAATGAACGCCGGAGAGAGTAAGTTCTTTTCTCATCAGTGCGTTTCAAAACAAAATCAAGGTTGAGAAGCCGCTACGCGGCTTTTCAAAACTAGCCCATCCAGGACTGTGACTGTGTAAGGCTTCAATTTGCATGATTCTTCCCAAATTGCACAAGAAAAAAATTGAAAAGCTAAATTTAACGGAATTGATCTTGCTTTCAGGAAACTCAACACGAAGACGCCGTGTCTCGAAATCCCGCCTCGCGTCTACGACTCGGACTCCTCAACATCGCCCCGCCTAAAAATATCCCAAAAAAAGTCTTCCGTGCTGCCAAGAGCTTGAAAGTTTGAAATGTTCTGAATTTGACGTATATAGCACCATTTTTTGATAAATAATTTTATTCCAAAAAAAATCAGCAAATATCTACATAGATATTCACTAGGTTCAGAATTTATTCGGTGGGTTGTAGCTTGAGTTTGAATGTCACACAGACATGACGGTCTTGGTCCACTAATCATCCATATCGAGCCGTCACCCCGGTGACGAAGAGATCTGGCTAAATAACATATTTTGAGCAATATTAAAAATAGCTGAAAGAGAGAGAGAGAGAGAGAGAGAGAGAGAGAGAGAGAGAGATAGAGATAGAGAGAGATGATAAATGTTAACCCACCGCGCTCGCAAGGGTCCAGCTTGTACTCTTCCTGTCTTTTACTCTCATCAGGAAATATTCTGGTATTCCTGGGTAGATCTCCATCTCCGAGAGATTGGTCCCCAGTCGACCAAGAACTCTTGCATAATCTATAATTAGATGTCATAGCTCTTCACGGTAGTTTCTCGAGAGCTACAGAACTTATCTTTCGCCCTCCGTAGAGAGCTCTAGCTACAGAACACAAAGGTTTTTTTTATTAGACCACAGCAAAATTTAAGGCCCTACCAAACAAAAATGTATCAGTAAAGTGGATTTGTTTGAACACATTCCCTCCCACCCGCACATACCTGGCGCCACTCTTCTAGCTTCTCCAGGCCTGCAGCGTACGCTTGGTCCTTGACTTCCCGGCTGACACCATCATCGAGGTGCTGTAGCATCAGCGTATGGAACGCGTTGTGCTGCAAATTTTGTCTGTGATATCGAATATATCGTCGAATTGCGTTGTTGGATAAATTTATTCACGCGATGCTAATCATTTTAAACCCACTCGCAAAATTTCATAATATTATAGCTTTGCTTGGAGCAGAGCTGCCAAGTCTGCTTTCAAAATGGATGAAAATTAATGTGGGCAAAAAAAAACTAAAATTGCAGTTTCAAAGCTCGGAGATGACATTATTTGCTTTACAACCTATTACTAGTTGCATTTTGCCATAACATTTCACGATCGCCCTTTCGACCGAAAACCCACAAGTGTTTCTGGTGGCAGCATTCGATTTCCATTCGCGGCCACGATTTTTCCCAGGATGCTTTTTAGCCGCTTGAACAGGTCTCGGCGTTTCGTATTGTCTTGAAGCCGTCCCACCTTGGAGTCACGTCCCATTTCTTATCTGAAAAATTAATAAATAAGGTGAGTTAAGCAAGATATAAAGAAATTAAGAGAAAGAGAGCAAGGGAGAGAGAGTGAGTCTTACTTTTAGAGGGAAGATCGGTTCCGTTGTTGAGCGATCGGGGCATGTCTTATCTGTAAAAAGAGCATAAGATTTAGGCTCCGAATGCACAAGAAGCTTCCGATTAGTTGGATATGAATCCTGAATCGGAATGATAAAGTGTTGAATCATGGGTTTTCCTTACCAGCGTATCGCCGGCAAATAGCTGACGCAGCGAAGTCGGGGCGGGGCGCCGTTGATACAGTTGCTGCCAAAGCTGTTGCTCATATTGGAGCATGTCAAGATCCGCATTGATTCAGTGACCATAGAGATTCTGGTCGGCGGCGATTTCCTTTTTGACAAGCGCACCTAGGGGTCCGGTTGGCGAGAGTCGTAACGTTGTTTACCTTTAGGTGGCTGAAGTAGTTTCGAGATGGCAAATACCGCGGAGTGACGCTTGCCAAAAAATTCTGTAAACGAAAATTTAGATGTTTACGGGTGCCGTTGTTGTGAACAGTTAAAGCGCTTACCTAGTGGGTCAAATTGGGTCCAAGTTGCTCGCGTTGCTTTCCAAAGCGTGCCAGCTGTCGTTTGTATGGCGACTGTATAGAACGTTTCAGACTATTCAGAATTCCGGCGAAGCTTGCATCACTTCGTCGTCAACAGACAACGTGATGACTTCTGGATCAATTGCCTAAAAATAATCGTGGATTTTTGGGAGAGGAGCTTTTGGGCCATTCGATAGAGCGTCGAAAAATATACCAAGAAAATTAATTTCAGCCCGAATGAAGGTAATGGAATTTTTAGTGAATAAACAAAAATAAATCAAAATCTATGGGAACCCAAATTTTGAGATCTTCGATATTCTGAAAACGCCAATCGATAGAACGTCACAAAATATACTTTGAAATTTCTTAACAAAGCGAAAATGTTTTTATAAAAATTTTATAGCCTGAAAACTATTTTTGAAAACTATGGGCAAGAAATGGGATAACGGGGGGGGGGGGGCTATTTTCGGCGTTTTGAATATTTTCGATATTTTGAAAATGCCATTCGTTAGAGCGCCGAAAAATATACTAAGAGCTTTTTTTACAGCGCGAAAAACTATATTTAAAAATATTTTTATGATAAAAAAAACTTTGCGTCCCGCCCCCAGATCTCGTTATTAAAAGCCACCATACATACCTGGACATCCCATCTTTCTGCCGCGAAATTGATGAATGGAGAATGAGTCCATGCCATACATCTTCTTCAACACATTCACCTCCCTCGAAAAAACCCTGAAATATCGTATATATTTTTTCTCGTCTTATGGGCCCAATTTTCAAGGGAAGGCGCAAGCACTGCCCGAAATTGCTTTTAGACTTAAAATTCCGAAAATTATTAAAAGAACCATAACTGCATTTGTTATTGACATACATATTAGGGATTTTGCAAGTGTAATGACGTACTTACGCTTACCTTTGAATCTTCAAAAATCGTCGGCACAAATTATATGACCCGGGTGGGTACATAAGTTCCATTAAATCCGGTAAGGCATTGGAGAAATTGCCACAAGTCCAAGCAAGCTGAAAAATACAAATACTGGAAAGAATCTAAATTAAACAAGTGGCTGGAAATTAATTGAGAAGCATAATCAAATACGATAAGGAAAGAGAGGGTGCGAGAGAGAGAAAGCGAGAGAGAGACAGCGAGAGTGAGGGAGAGACAAAGAGTGCGTGCAAGCGAGAAAGCATGCGAAAAAAATAAGGAACGAACGCATAATCTGACCTTTAAGCCTTTTAGGGCAAATTGCAACAGGATCAGGATTATTTATAAATAGCGCGATAATGAAATGCGGGAAAAACTTTATTAGAATATTTAAAAATAAAACTAATAGTAGATGGGAACGAGCAAAATATGAAAACATCAGTAAGCCAAGAAGATATAAGACTAAGGAAAGTCAGCAGGTAAACTGTCGAAGAAAACTGAATCACTTTGAGCCTGAGGTCGATGCTTATGTAATGGCTGCCAGATGTACGCACACCACTGGCAGAAGTGGAGAACGTATCCGCGGGAGCTCTTATCAAAACATTAGTGCGTAATCGGTGTCAGATAGTCGACAGTCAGCGTTTGTTAATACCATTAATGCATATTACCAACAATAGGATGCAAATGGGACACTAATGATCTGATAAAAGTGCCCCCGGGTCAACGACCACTTCTGCCAGGGGCGTCGATACATCTGCTAACCACTAGATAAGCAGCAGCTTGGGGCCCAAAGTCATTCAGTTTTTCGTCCACATTTTGCTTTTGATTATTTAGGCTTATGGTCAGCTCATCTTATTTACCTGCTGGCTACCTTTTTCTTAAGTAGAGAATTCCGTTTTAATCTAGCTTGAAACGAGTTTAATTCCCGTTTTTCATCCCCACGGAATGAACAAAGAATTTCTTACCGTATCTCAAGATAATTTATTTGGTCTTAATACATAACTTCTGTATTTTTACCTTTAACGATTTCGCATTTACGATTCTACTAAATCGGCAAAGCTTGCATAATTGATTTTGCCAATTTTCTAACAGAAATTTCGTTTGCATGTCGTATATTGAAATTTAATATGTATCTCGTTTGTAATTGGAAGTTAAAGTTTAATTCTCTCGCCTCGTCTCTCTTCCGCCTTCTTTCTCGCCATCTCTCTTCCCTCCCTCTCCCCCCCTCTCTCTCTCTCTCCATTTCTTGTCTTAGTCGATCGTTCCTTTTTGTTTATTTCATAGATTATTTTTGATAATTCTAATTTTTTAGCGTGCGCGAACTTGTGGCAATTTCTCCAATGCCTTACCTGATTTAATGGAAGATATGTACCCTAAACGGGTCATATAATTTGTGCCGCGGATTTTGGAAGAATTAAAGGTATGCTGAACAGCTTTATTGTAGTGACCCGAGCACCTTCGAAATTATGATAGGTTTATAAGACTTTATAAAACATAATGGATCGTGGATAATGTATTGGCATTCTGCGCCTGGGAGGTTTTTAAGTTTTTGAAAATTTCGAAAAGATAGGTATCGGGGTGGAAAATTCGTTCCTTTCCTTCGGATTCCTTTTGAAACATTTAGGCCCATATTTTGAGAAGGAGAGTGCCGCATCCATCTCCTCTTACTCATCCTCCGACGACGACGACGCCCCCGACGCTGACCGTATCGATGAAGTGAGGGTAAATATAACTTTTCTAGTTAAAAAAAACTAAATTTTAGCCCGTCTCCAGTGCCGCATCCACCTCCTCTTCCTCGTCCTCAAGCTCATCCTCCCTCGCCCCCAACGACGCCCCCGCCCCTGACCGTTTCGATGAACCGCGGGTAAATATAACTTTATCGCTTTTAGCTTGGAAACTTTTTATTTTAAAGACCCCGGGACTTTAGATTGTTGAGCTGGCGTCCCATGCTGTCACATTTTATCGCCGGGAGGCGACAGACAAGCTGGCAATGCTCGAGGACAGCTTTAAAAAAAGCGATTACAATATCGGCAAAATGGACTGGCACGCTCATCAACTTGTTCGTGAAGGAGCGGTGAGTTTTCTAATTTGTCGGTCATTTCTGTTATTCGACTTTCGAGGATTTGAAATTTTCAGAACCCAGGGTTGACGAAAACCACTCAAAGATGGCGAAAGACGTCAACCGAGCTCGCGGAATGCATGGAAGTGGGGGTTTTCCTTGCTTTTCCCTTTTTTAACGGGTCTGTTAATCTTTTTTGGGTTTCCAGCTCGTCGCGTGCCAGGCCAGGCGCTCGCCGGGGATACGGGATGTCGGAATCCCAAGGATCTGGAGGACTTTCTTCAATGCCTTGGAGTCGGCGATACAGGCCTGTAAATCATTCGGTCAGCTAATAGTAGAAGAAAACTACGGGAATCGGGTAGGTTTCGGCACCTTAAATCATGTAAAAAAAACCTGGGTGACCTGAAATATGCGACTCGTTATAGTTCGTACACCGTCATGCACGCCTAACCTCATGATAATACAAGGATTATTCAAAACTTTTTAGATGGGCCGACCACCACATCAAGAAGGAGGATGCGGAGAAAAAGATGTTTGCGGTTGAGCATGCCATCCGGAATTGGTCGATGAACTACCTGGAAGATGGCTGGTTGCTACCTGAGGTAAGCCCAAACAAATTTACGAGTCATATTTTTGTGCTACAGGGGTTCCGAAATGACAATAGCGAGCAGCGGCGTTTGGGTCTCTACAATTCCTCGGCAGTGGCCTGCCAGGATGGCGCTATTACTCTGGAGATATGCCGAAATAGGAAGGTGAAATTTGCTGGAAAATTGGTGCAGGTAACATAGAGGGTGTCTCAAAAAAAGCATCCCTCCGGCATTTCGACTTATTACATCCCGTCGATTCCATACTTTACACAACGATGTATCAGACCCTAAATAATCACGATCCTGAGTTATAGCCCGATCACTCCAGTAGTGTTCGAGTTATTGCCAAAATACTATTTTTTACGCGATTCTTAACAATTTTTTCGGCTATATTTTTGGACTCGATTTGCATCGACTTCCGACTCTGAATCCTTAATTTCGCTTAATGTCGGGGGTGACTTTGGGTTACAAAAATTGTTGAATTCAACCGTTATTAAATTAATTTGTTCATGAAAAACATTTTAGGTGGACAGATGGCTTGCCGCTTAATTTTCACTTAATATTTGAAGGGACGGATCCGACGAAAACCTTATGAAAAACGGACCATAAAGTTTATTTGGGGGTATCTCGAAGATTACTGCAGCTGGCGGGCTATAACTTAGGATTGTGGTTATTTAGGGTCCAATACTTCTCTGGTTCAAATTTGGGACCGATCGGATCTTATATGGCGAAATGCGGGAGGGGTGCTTTTTTATGGGACACTCTGTATTGACCTCCCCCCCCCCCCAAAAAAAAAATCACTATAAGGTTTCAGCCCATGGCCCTGGGTGCGTTTGACGATGACCGCTACGTCTGGAGGGACATTCATCCATATAATGTTGAGTCATCGCAATAATACGGTGTATATTCCAGTCAAGCAATGCAAATTTGAGGTAAGTCAATAGGACCTGTAAAATAATAACGAAAATGTCTATCACGACTCCCATCGGCCATCATAACCCGTAAGAAAATAATAATCGGCGAATTTGATTTATGTATAGTTTTTTATTTCATGTTTTTCACTTTCCTATGTCTAAGCCTAAATCTAAGCCAAAGTTTAAGCCTAAGCAACTCGGTTCTGGACTGTTAGCCGGGGGGACGATTAGCAGGACAACGATTTTTCTACCTATTTAATACCTTCCGATAAAGAAATTGTATTGTTATATTGTTTTTAGTATTTCTGATTGCTAGAAAGTTATAAAAAATCTTTTTGAAAATTTTGTGATTTTGAGAATATTTATTTTCTTTGCTACGGCACATAACAAGCCTGCAACTCGTTACAAATCTCAACGCTACACGCAAGTTTCGCATTTTCAGAAAATACAGCACAATTTTCAGCATAAGCGTCCTCGACTTTGAAACAGAGGCCGTCAAGTACGTGAATGGCGAGATGATCGACATTCCCCACAAAGCGACGCATTGCTACATGCGACAAATGTGCGAGGAATGCACTCCTGATGCGTAAGTGTACTTCCCAGCAACTAACAATCCCTCTTTCAGGCCGGCGAGAAAGGCAAAGGAGGACGTCTTGAGCGACACGACCATGAGCCAGACGAAGAACCGCTGCACGCTGAAGACGTTGACGATCAAGATCACCTTCGAAAGAAGCTGAAAGACCGCTGGATAATGAAAATCGTCATAAGACTGGCATGGTATGCTCAAAAACAACTTGAACTATCCGAACTAAACTCTAGTCATAACGTATTTTATTATTAGTGAAACGTTCATCAGTAATGAATTTGAATTTTTTATGATTTTGAATTTAAGGGCCCAGTGGACCAAGACCGTCATGTCTGTATGACAAAACGACGTCCATGCTGAGAACCCAGGAAAAGCCAAAGTAAGTCATTTGAGTCGATAGATCATTAGAAAGTCCGAGAAATCCTGGAGAGGGTGAGAGATAGAGAGAGAAAGCGAGAGAGAGAGAGAGAGAGAGCGTGAGAGCGAGAGTGAGTAGAGCCGGCATTAAAGGGGTTCCGAAACCTGGTCCAGGCCCCCCGCGCTTATTCCTGGCAAATAGCCAGATGCGACCGCGACGCAACCGCGCCGCACAATCTTTTGCCCCTGTTTGGACGTGAAAACACTTTAATTTGAAAATTCTGACGCTATTTCTGGAATCCTCACCAAATTTTGATCATTCTAGACTTTTTAATTATGAAAATTGATCAGAGAATCGCCGAGATTGAGAAATTGGGTGCCTTACAAGGCATTACGACATGTATTCGCCGCGCACTAAAAAAAGTCGTTTTCGCACCAAACACTTTTCCGTTTTACTTGAATATTTCACGTTTTTTCGCAGCGAAATGAATGTTCTGGTGCTTTTCGGACGTGACCCTTTCGTTTTTTGCCCAGTAGGTTCGATCCACGCCTCCGCGGATTTTGAGTTCCGAGCCCCTTTAAGGCCCAAATCAACAGAATATTTACAGGGAGGCCTAAAATCATTCGAAGAGGTAGCTACGCTCGCCGAGCTGCCTCCCTCAACCATTACAACCTCACCGTCATGCCTGCCGGCGACCCCAGCTTTACTTTCATCCACCATGGCGTACATGTGATCGCGACGCGTCGTAGGGTATGTTTCCCACCCGAGGCGATCAACCCTTTCTCAGGATTATCTAGTCAACGGTGCCAGGAAAAAGAGCCAGATTCCGGCATTTTTGCCATCAATTTGGCCGCCAATGAGACGCTAACCATCGGCGATGAGGAGCTTCAAAGCCATACATTTTACGAGAACGCTGTGACACTCGTCGGACACGAAGACGTAAGTTGCATTAATTATGGCTGCGATTAAACCAAGGGCTAACTACGGCTATCAGCTAACTAATAACCTAATTAATTTTATTAATGAACAGAAAATAAATAGAAGTATAAGATTAGAAACTACAGGGTGTGCAATAAAAAACACCCCCCCAAACTCGATGCAGAAGTATCGAATTGGCACCATTCGAAAGCCCTTGAAACGGCGGGTTTGTAACAGTTTTAAAAACCACGTTTTTTTAGTGTAATGTTAAAATTTTCTAACTATTTTTGATGTAAGAAAACAACTTGGCTATAATGATTCGGCTACGGCAAACCTTTTTTTGAGAAATTCCATGCATTAATAGGACGTATGGCTAAAAAATTACGGCTGGGGGAGGTAAACTCGACTTTAGACGGATCTACCATAATAATGAATATTCGGAGCGTTAATCGGAGATGGGAGTTGCAGGAAAATTATATGAATCCCACATTTTAGGAGGGCTATTGCTTGATGCAGTGCTGGGGCAAGTCGCCGTTTTGCCCGCGAAAGCCTAGTATCGGACTTATATTCGGGACCACACGGTTGGCTAACGCACCAGTCTGGTAGGATTCTATATGGGTTGATTGCACAAAGATTTACAGAGGAACAAAGCTCCACGCGCGTCGAAGTCAGTGTGCCGTCCAACGGCAACGGGGATCAATACTCACTTTCCCCCGCGGGGGTGTCCCGTACGGATATGTAAGGGAAAATCAGAGCTGGCTAGCTGAAGATGGCAAGCAGCATCGCCACGTTCACCAATTCCTATTCTCCTCGCTTCTTGAAATCCCCAGGTTTTCATTCAATGAAAATGATAAACAATTATTAGGACATTGGCGATGTACTCAGGGTTCACTTGATGCCGAGCGCGCCTCCGGAAACCCCTTGCGGCGCAAGCGTGACGACCGAGGACCGACAAGTGGAATTTGGCGAGTATGATGTGGGTTGAAAATATTATAGGCTTCGAGTTTTGTAGCTTAGAGGCTTTTTTACGAAAGGGAAACTTCTTAAAGTCGTCGCGGAACCGGTAGTTGAAAACTTGGTTCGGAACCTTTGCGTGAGTCCCAAACTAAACTCCGGTCATAACACATTTTATTTTATTATCAGTGTAGACCTTCATCAGAAATGAATTTGACCAATTTTAGGACCCAGTGGACCAGGACCGTCATGTCTTTATGACGAATGAAAAAAAACGAAGAAGCAGCTGGACGATTGGCAGATGGGCAAGGCACAGAATCAAAGTCGAGGAGCCAAGTTTTCCCAGATCATTTACGATGGATAAATGATTGTGTTCATTTCGGCTTTAAAAAACTGACCATCCCAAAACCAAAGTTACTGGAATACCCGTATGTGCGAGAAAGGTAGGACGGAGAGATAAGAGCGAGAGAGAGAGAGAGAGAGAGAGAGAGAGAGAGAGAGAGAGAGAGAGAGAGAGAGAGAGAGAGAGAGAGAGGAGAAAGAGAGAGTCGGGGGGAGAAAGAGCAGGAAATTTTGAGAGTTCTTGAAATAATCTAATACCGTCTATACCACTTATATATTTCGAAAATTTTCCGGCATTACTAATGTTTTTGCAAAATGGACGGAATACTGACCAAGTTTTTTATAAAAAATGCAGTTAAGAATTTTTTATTTTGAATTTATTTCATAGAACTTAGGCCTTGCTTGGCAGTTAGGATTCAGGAATTTCAAAAATCTGAGAGACGTGCTGGACTCGCCTTTCCCAGAGCTTTCGATTGATACCTAAATCGTAAAAATCGGACTCGACTGGGGCCGCCTAGGGGATTTTTTTAGGTGCCCTGTACGGTACTTTTCAAATGGATACCAATATTTACCCACCCATCCAAAGTATCATCATCTTCATCATCTATTATTTGACAACAATCCCGTGTTTTTGTTTGCACGAGGAATTGGAAAGTGTCACCCTTGATCGCCGGCGGCAAGCTTCTAGGGATGCATGGGGGGCCCAGGGCCACAGCGGGCGCGCTTTTTGGCACCCCCGATAATCTGTGCGGGCAAAGGGGCGGGGCTAAGGGCTGTGCGGAGGATTACGGTAATGAATTCCCGCCCAGACCCTTAGCCTCCACAAAACAAGAGGAGATATTTAAGCAAGCCATGCTCCTATCTGACCATTTATCGGACGGCAGCTTTTTTTATTGCTTTTTTTTGCTCGTGTCCGTTCTGAAGTTTCCCGAGATATCCAAGTATCCATGGGTCACAGTATACCTTCCCTTGATTTTTTTGACCTTGAACAGGCATCGCAATTTTGCATACAGTAACCTCCCTGTTCCATTAAAAATGCAGACGTTTTGATTTCTTGAATCTTAAGAGGCTACGTTAAAACAGGCTCATTTTAATTTTTGACTAAATTTGATTTTTGCGCAATATCACCCCGTCGTAATTTCCTTTTGCGGAAAAGAGTCCGCAAATTAAAATTCTTCATGCATTGACATTTTGGCGAAATAAAATTCCGACAAAACGATATCTCGACAAAATTGTATTTGACAAAGTTAGATTTCGACAAAATGTGTTTGTTTATTGTTTAAAGTTTCTTGGATAGAATAGTATTGCGTAGCTACCGTAGCTACCTCGACCCTTGCGGTAAAGCTCCGAAATTTTTTTAGATATCGTTGCGTTTCCTCTTTAGCCAAAAACACTCATTCTTATTGTTACTATCCAGGCCTCGACTTTGCCCCTTTCTCTGTATTTTCTAACCGATTTTTTTAATGTAACTTTTCAAAGGAATCGGCCCTCAAGATTCCGACTCGTTACTACAAACGCTCTCCATTTCCAGGCTCCTCAAACTTGCGGTGGTTTCTCCAAGGCTATTTGCCTTCATGAAAAGACAATGGAGCAATTTCTTATCTCGGAAATGATGTTAAATTTGTGAAAATAATGATAAAAGTAAGTATTTACGGAGCCGTAATGCTAAAGTAAATTTCTTTCATCGTCTGGCCGCTTATAAGGGTTCGTAGTCGTTTTGGACGCTTTTGGAGTTTTGGCACGTGACACAGCACATTCGATAAAGCTTCGAGTTCTGAGCTACTTAAAAACAGATTTTCATAACGTTTTAACAATTTTTAATAATAAATGCTCTAACAAACTATTTTCAAAAACTGAGCTTTTTGTTGATTTTCAGAAATTTATGACCAAACAGTCAAAATTTTCCTTAATTTTTATGGGCTTTTTACATCTAAATTTCGCCTTGCTTACAAGGGGATGGTCTCAGCTCGGAATCGAATTCGGATTTGAAAATTTGCACACTTATAGAGCTCGACGAGACAAATCGATTGGTGTAACTTTCAGCAGCAGATACCCCGAACTAACAAAGTTATAAGCATTTTTAGTTTTTGCATACATTTTGCAGATTTTTCGCCATACCTTCATAAGCCCTCCCCCTTCCCCTATCACCGTGGCCTGGTGGCCTAGTGGTGTGGTACGCGGCGTCTGGGGAATCTATCAAGGGTTCGAACCCGCTCACGATTTTTATTTTTTGCTTTTTGGTCCAAAGATTCCTCTTGGCATTCCAAAGACCTTTAATGGCTTTTTAGGCATTCACCAGGAACCAGGAAGCGCTTGCAGCAAAAAATCCCACTCCTAAAAATTTTTGGAAATTTTGAGAGTTGGCAAGGTAACCACAGTAGGATCAGTTCGAAGAAAATAATTTTGATTATTTTCATGCAGCTTGGGATACGATAAAGTGTTGATAAGCAGATTGCCAGCCTTCTGAAAATTTCCCCAAAATTTTTTGAGGAAAACGGAAAGAGCCCAAAGCTCGATAAGCACCTAATAATGAAGCTCTTTAGATGGAATCTTTCCGGAACATTGAAGCTCCTTCATGCTATCAATGGACCTCTAAAATAAACTGGATATGTGCAATTTCCAAGGTATGAGGCAAAGAGGCAGACGAGCCCTTGATATACTACATTTTTACAAGGAAACGTTTTTGAGTTGAGACCCAGCCTAGCTTATGCAGAATTTTGCGCGGTTCCGGAGCCGGTTAAATTTTTGCTACGTAAGCGATTTCT